TTGCATATTCCTGGGCTGAGCATGGGCACTGAATTCTTCGCATGAGCTGTCTGCCTGAGCACCCCCTCCAGAGGCTGATTCTTGGAGTTCAAGCAAAGACACACTAGTTCCTGCATGCCTGAAATGACCCCAGCCTTGCACTATTTATTTATTTATTTATTAAAACATTTCTATGCCGCCCCATTTGCCGAAGCCTCGGGGCGGCTCGCAACATTAGGTTAAAATACAAGAAATAACAACTAGGTCCCTCAATATGCAGTAGGTGTTTAAGAATAGTAATGATATTCTAGGTACTTTGTATTTCTCAAAATCAGGTCGAGCGATCTGACCCGAGCTGTCTGGCATTGATGCTGCTGTCTGATCCTCTGCCCGGGGCACCGCTTAAGCAATTGGTTACTAGCATGTGGAGAAAGATACGGGCTGCAAGGGGGTTTCTCCAAGCAGGATAACCATTTCGCATGCATGGATGTCTACCTGACGGAGCGAGCTGCTGGTGGATCCCTGCAGGAGCCCAAGTGGGAGACCAACACTCCTTTTTGGAATGAATTAAAGGGTCTGCTTGATGCCTGCTGACGCCTTTTGGCTATTGGGCAGTATAAAATGAAATAGATGACAATAAATAAACACTACAGAGAGAGTTGAAAGCATCCACGTGGCAGGACCCGAATTAAAGCAGAGTTACCCATTAGTAAAGGCTACTCTGCACGCCAGATCTTTTTTTTTTTTTTTTTTTTGGGTGGACAAATCCGCAGGCATGCGAAGTCCCAACCCTCGCAGCTTTCCCGTGATCCCGCTTTGAAATGTGCATCGGCTCAGCGTAGGTCTCGTTCGCAGTCAGCCCACGTTGCTGGCTTCGCACCTGTGATTTGAGACTGACGCCACGACGTTTCCATGGCACTCGAGCCGTTTTCACAAGGTGTCGCGTTCTACCTTAAGTGGCACTCAAATCAGGGTCTATAGAATATACTGCTGGAGAGCATGTGAGATTTTTAAAAAGGGCTGCATTCGCAGCCACCCGAATTGGGTGAGGGGGGTGCTTTAAAGTGAGGGCTGCTTCTCGCTGAAGGAAGGGAGCGGGCAGAGAGAGAGAGAGAGGCGAGGCAGTGACACGGTGAGAACGTGCAGGAAAGCACCTTAAAGAGTCTTAAAGAGTCCTTGTGGCACAAGCTTTGGCCCTCCTGTGGCAGATGCTTCCGCCTTCTCCCCTGCTTTCCCATGATGCCAACAAGGATCCTTCCTTATTCCCATATGGAAGTGGAGGCTGAGAGAGTGGCGGTTTGGCTGCATCCCCCTTTAAGGGCAAGTGGCAGGCCAGATCCGAACCGGGGACTGTCCGGGTCATGCAAAGATTTCCCGGAAAGAAAGGCTGGCGGACACGTGTTCCCTGTGCACACCTGGAATTCCTTTCCAGAGCATGTGCTGCCTCCAGGCAGGGCTGAGTGGGGGAAGAGGAACGCTTGACCTGGGCCTGCAGTACGTGGCTGGGGCTGCAGGTGGGGCAGCCCCCCACTTTGGAGGACAGATGCCAGGAACGACCAGCTCCCAGCTTCCCTCCAAAGGTCTCCTAGTCATCTCCCCTCTTGGGGAACAGCATGGTGCGTGCCACAGGGCAACCCGGGTCCCCTAAACTAGCCTGCCAAACGGAGGGTGTGCTATCCAGCGCCAGTGTTACGTTTCTGGGGACCCTCGGACAAGATGCCCTGCTTGGCTGAGTCTCCCTTCTCATGGCCGTGGTCGCCAGCCGCCTTGTTGCTCCTCCACGTTCTCATCATGGGTACTGCTTGCTCGCTTGCTCGCTTGCTCGCTCGCTTGACGGGCAGGGAGCAACGAGGCTACGGCGTCTGCTCCTCCCCCTCCTCTGGCCAGAGTGAGAAGCAGGGCATCAAAGAGACTGCCGTGGCGAACAAGGGGGACACCTGCTGCCAGTGGACACCTGCCTGGACATAGGCCAGGGGGAGGTGCCCAGCCATGGCCTGCCCTGCCCTGCCCCGCCGTGAGTGTTAGCAGCGTCCGAGCAAAATCCCGCCGCTAGTCCGGTCACCTTCCGTCTCTGGAAAGAGAGGGGCACGTCTTAGCCTCAGGAAGCAAACCGTCTCGGGCTGCCCTGCCTGCATCCTCATTGCCCTAAGATGAAAATGGGGGTGAGCTTGTAGGTCATGCGGCACCCTTTTGTACGAGTTTCTTCCTTGTGTTCACGTAGGAGCCCATGACCCAGCGCATTCGACGCCATCGGCACGGTTGGTCGGTCGGCCGGTCAGTCAGTTGCTAGGCTGGTTAGTTGGTTGGTTGGTTGGCTTTTTTGTCTTATTGTGCCTTGCGAACCCAGCCCGTGTCTTCTGAGAGCCTGGGAGTCTTGCCAGAACAGATCAGGAACAAACAGAACAAGCCACGGTGACTCTTATCAGAGGAGAGGAGAGGAGAGGAGAGGAGAGGAGAGGAGAGGGAGACTCACCCCCACAAGGCGGTTCCCCTTTCCTTGGCAGTGGGATGCCGGGATGCCACGTAATGCATGGCCCGGCACAGGGAGGCTGTTTCGCGAAAGAAGCTCCTGTTCCATGGAACAACATTTTGCTGTTGTGGTAATTTATTGAGATTCAGTCATTTCCCCATCATTATGGCACCGACCCAGAAAAACCAGGAAAGTCACAACGGCAGATCTGGGAAGACCTTTATAGCTGCTCATAATCGGTAATGGTCATTACGGATTCTGCAGCCATGGGGCTGGGCAGGGAGAAGACCCCGGGCTCAGGCTGCAGGCCAGAAAGTGCACCTATTTGCATATGCCAATAGACAGACAGACAGACAGACAGACGCTTTAAAGTCTCCATGTGTGTATTTAAAGGACCCGAGGACACCCATAGCTGTAAAAAGGGATGTCTGAGGAAGGCACTTGCTTTTGGGAAAAAAATCTCAGGGAACAAGATTCAGGTGATGGGGGCAGAGGAGGTGAAGGGCCGGTGAGCACAAAGCCGGCTCATGCAGGGGGGTCTGATGCAGCAAAGATCCTCAGGACCCCTGCACCCTTTTTCCAGCAAGTGTCCTTGGACAGCAGGCTGGTGGGGCAGGGGGCCTTGCAGAATCCGGGGCTCCAAGTGGAAATCTGGGGCTCCAGGCCACCCGCTCGCAGCACCTCTGGGGCTTCACGGCTAGCTGCAGCTGTTTCCCTGCCTCGCTGTCACCTTCTCCGGTAAGACGGACCCAGGGCTGTGGTCAGCAGCAGGGAGAGTGTTCGCCGACAGCAAAGGGAAGGGTTGTGTTTGTCGCAGCCTGAGCCACTGGGCTGCTCGGTTCCTGGGCTGCTTTGCATAACCACGAGAGCTGCCCAAAGGCCCAAGTGTGAGCGCTCAGCTGGGAGGAACTGAAAGCTCCGATCTAGCCTTGTGCTTGCTGAGCTCTGTGAAGTCATCCCCTCCTTCTCTCCTGCCTGTGGCCCCACGAGAAGAGAAGAGGCCCCAGCAGGCCAGTGGGGAGAGAATGGCAGCAGGCTGGCAAGGCTTGAGAGACGGTCCTTTGGCCGAAGCCCCACAGCCAGCTTGGTCGCTGAGCGAGGGTGGCACCCAGCTCTTCTGGGAGCTACGTCCGGACCCCTGGGAGGCTGATTGGACATGCAAACTGTGCAAGCAGTCGCGAGCTCACTCTGCACAGCCTCTTAGGGTCGGGCCGTGCTCCTGTCCTGCCCCGCTAGACCCGGAGAAGCCCTGCTGCAGGGCTGCGTTGGGCATACTTCCAGGGGGACGTATAGAACCCCTTAAAGCAACAACAACACTGCAAGCTGCAAGAGCAGCCCAGGACCCCGAAGGAAGAGCAGCTTGGCTGGTGACATTTTAAGAGGAAATGCTCTTCCTTCCTTCTGGCTTTTCCCTAGGGCAAAATGTAGCCAGCAGGTCCCTGCAAGCTACCAAGTGGCTCAGGACCAAAGGAAAGCCCCAAGCTGGCATGTGCGAATTTATATAGCTCTCAATTCCCTCTCCATGTGTGTCTTTAAGGGGATCATTCTGCTAAGGGCACCACAGCTGGGAAAAGGGATGTGTGGATGGGGTGGGGGGGTGATTCCAGAAAACCTCATCGGGGGGCACAGCAGGAGAGGAAACCCACACGGGCTGGGAGCCAGCTACTCCAGGGGGCCCAGATGCAACAGTGATAAACAGGGCCCCTGAACAGCCAGTACCCAGGGACAGGTGGTATCCCATAGATTCGGGGCCCTCCCGTAACGCTACCTCTGTTGAGGTTCTGTTACGTGTAGCATGCACTTCAATCCTTAAAGCCAAATTGGCTGTTCTCCTGTTGGAAGAATGTCAGAGTGCTTTGCTTTTCTCACTTTCCAGATGGTACTTTTTTGCTATAGTTCACTCAGCAGATGGTCAGACGTCATGGGAGTTGGAGTTCAAAACATCTGGAGGACACCACACAATAATCCATAATCAGAGGTTGAAGATAGGTTGAGTGTGGGTTTTCATTAACCCGTCAGTTGTTGGAATATCGGTTGTCATGTTGTCTGCACTCAGCCGGGATAACAAACCTGCAGTTAACAACCCAACAGCAAACCATGGTTTCCATCATGGATTGTTCCTACTTAACAAGCCATGGCTTGTTCGCACAGCTGCATTCCCACATTTCAGCAACAATCCACGCTCAGCCCACACTCGACCCTTGGGTGCTGGTTATTGAGTTTCCGGGACCCAGATCAGGTCTTAATGGCCCTTCCAAGACTAAGCCACCTCCAAACACTTTGCAGTATGATGGGATAGCTCTCAACCACACCGTGTTGCTGGGGGATTGCAGCGACTGCGGCTGTGGAGGTTGTAGGGAAAAGGGAGGCCTAGGGAAATAGAAGTCTGTTTCATGGTCCTGCCAAGTAGTCCCTGCCCTGCGGTGCTCCGGGCCCCGGTTCTGCTGCACCATCGCCTGCTGTGAAGACACGCTCTGGACAGGCTGGAGAATCAGCCTGAGCCAGTCCCTTCTAGGGACACGTTTACCCTTCCCTTCTCTCCTCCCTTTAGGAAGGAGGATCAGAAATGGATGACTGCGTGGACACCCTGAAGGACGAAGAGGACGCCCTGTGGGAGAATGTCGAGTGCAATCGCCATATGTTGACCCGCTACATCAATCCGGCCAAGCTGACCCCGTACCTGCGCCAGTGTAAGGTCATCGATGAGCAAGATGAAGATGAGGTGCTCAACTCGCCGATGCTGCTCTCCAAAATCAACCGCGCAGGTAGGACTCAGTGGCTGGAGCCGTGCCGATTCAGAGGAGGCCACTGTTTGCCCCCGGTTCTGTGCTACAGGTAGGGCTCTACCGGGAGAGGGGGAGTGGACCCTGCGCTTTTCGTTGCTATGAGTTCTGCTTGGTTATATACCGAGTTTGGGGGAAGGATATTGATTGCCAGAAATGAAGAAATCCTAACGTCGTTGTCCCCTGATGACTGATGGCAGTGGGAGTAGGAAGCGGCAGGTGATTGGGTTGGAACACTCCGCAGCTCTCAAGACAGGCAAGTTATGAAGCTGCAAAGATTTTGTTCAGGGGAGGATATGCAGGGCTTGGAAATTGTGCAATATCCCAAGGAAGGTGGACACTTTTTAAGCACAGGAACCTGGGACACTTCCTGACGAGCAGACCGGTGGTCCACTTAGCTCAGCATGGGCCACTCCAGGAGAGGTCAGAAAGAAGATCTCCAGATGTTCTGGACTTCCAGCTCCCAACATTCCTGAGCACTGGCCTGTGGGAGTTGGTCCTCAGCACTTGGAGTTCCACCTTCTGCCTGCTCCGGGCGTACACCAGGCCACCTCAAGCTGGTGACCCCTAGACGGGTTGGGCTGCAACTGCAACCTTCTCACTGGCTATGCTGGCTGGGGGAGGATGGGAGCCCACCATTTTGGGAAGACACTAGCGTTGGGTGGGCTGCTCTACCCTGATTTTCAGCCACTCTCCAGGGTGGCAGTCAGTTGCCTTTCCTGGCCTGGAGATGCCACGGGTTGAACGAGGGCACTCGGCATGCAAAGAACGGCTTTGCCCTCCCCTACCTGCCTAGGTCTCTCCACCTCCAGCAATGGACCCTTTCCTTCTCTTGGAGCTTCCCCAATACCCACCCCTTGCAATTTAGCATTCTGAGTGCCTCAAGTCTACAGGAGGTATTTCAGCCTTTCAAACTGGGGGGAACGATCCAAAATCCAGGGAGCACCAGAACAACTGCTGCATGGGGGGCGGTGGTGGAGCTGTCCTGGCAGCGACAGAGGGCCAGGTGTTTCTCCACCCCGGAGCAGATGTTGACTAATCCTCAGGGATTGCCCCCATTCCCACACACCCACAGACGCAGCCTGTGCGTCCCCCAGCTTTAAGCTTCCCATGGTGAGTCAGGCATATTCCCAGAGGGACTCCGTCCTTTACAGAGACCCCTCCGCGTTTTCACGCACGGAAGCTCTGTTTCAGCTCCGTGCCACCATCATGGTGGGAAGGAAGGGTCCACCCAGGGATTGCCATCCATTTCCCCTGGGGCAGTCTCGCCCAAAGCTGTGGGTCATGGGAAATGCGTCTGATGTTCTGAATGCTTTTCGTTCGGATACATACACTGAAGTTTGGTTCCTGGCTTATTTCTGATTTATGTGAGCATTTGTTTGTGGAGGTCAACCTGTCCTTTTACCGCAGTTTGTTCTTCTGCACACTCTATACTAATAAGCCCAATAAAAGTTCTCTGTTTTGTCGAGTCCTAATGGCTACGCAGTACCTCCCTTAACATGGGCAGAGCACCAGTTGCTGGGGAGCATGGGTAGGGGGTGCTGTTGGATCCTGACCCATGGCCATGAGTTGATGTTCTGATGTCATGTGTGGGCTCTTCCTAGGCCGACTGCTGGACATACTTCATACCAAAGGAGAGAGGGGTTATGTGGTTTTCCTGGAAAGCCTTGAATTTTACTACCCGGAGCTCTACAAATTAGTGACAGGGAAGGAACCGACACGACGGTTTTCCACCATTGTTGGTAAGTTAGAACCACTCCTAAAGGATTTGATTAAAAAGAAGAATGGATGTTAAGGAAATCATTCATAAAAGTGTTTTTAATGAGCTCTCCCAATAGAAGCAAGGCTGAGGAAGTTGGGTATGTGATTAGAACAGCACGGTGACGGGGGTCCTTGTGCTGTCCAGGTGTTTTGGACTACAATTCCCAGAATGCCTGGCCATTGGACATGCTGGCTAGGCCTGACTGGGGTCGTGAGCCAACACATCTGAAAGACACCAGGGTTTTGTTGTTGTTGTTTTGGCGTGGGGCTGCAAAGAACATAAAGAGAGTCATCCGAGACCAAAGCTCTTTCCTGGACTTTCTGCAACTGAGGTGCTTCTGGATGTTTTGGGCCACAACTCCTATCATCCCTCACCACTGGTCATGCTAGGTGGGGCTGATGGGAGCTGTATTGCAGAACATCTGTAAGGACCCAAGTTGGGCTCCAGTTGTGCATAATAAACCAGAAACACCCAGGAAGTACAAACAACAGGACTGCCACTATCCATCAATCGGTGTTTGTGGCATACTGCCCCTGAACATGGAGGTTCCATTAAGCAGGCTTGGCGAATCCCCCCAGGCAGGCCTGTCCTCAATGACTTAACCTTTCTTATGCTTGCGAATTCTGTGAGGCCATTCTGTTTCTTGCGAGGACATCCTGGATCGGTTCCCATGCACCCTAAAAAGGGGGTCCTTTCAGGAGAATTCGATTCGCAAGCCCATCCCCCACTCTGCCCTTGCTGCTGCTCGTCTGCTGTGAGGGCCATGGCCGGTCCCGTATTTGCGGCACCCTGTTTTCTCCTCCTCTTGGTTTCAGTAGAAGAGGGCCATGAAGGCCTCACTCACTTCCTGATGAACGAGATCATCAAGCTGCAACAGCAGGTCAAAGCCAAGGATGCCCAGCGCTGCGAGCTCTTAGCCAAGTGCCGTCAGATGGAGGAGGAGCTGAAGCACCTGAAGCTCAACAAGATAGAACTGCTGACCTTCCAGGAGCGGTACAGCAAGATGAAGGAGGAGCGGAACAACTGCAACGACGAGCTGATCAAGGTGAAGGACGAGAACTACAACCTGGCCATGAGGTACGCCCAGCTGAGCGAGGAGAAGAACATGGCCGTGATGAGAAGCCGAGACCTTCAGCTGGAGGTGAGTGGAGGGCCTTTTGGGGCAGTGGGGCTGTAATGGGGCTGATGGTTATGCCCACGGACAATCTCCGTGGGATCCCCCAGGGTCGCCATCCCTTCTGGCTCTTAAAACCTTGCTTCTAATGGAAACGAAGAGCTGGGAGGGCAGCGTGGAGAGCAACAGGCGCCTGCACTCTCTGTCTCTATTTTCAGGAATGCTTCTGGGTCCCGAGCATGGTCCAGAGGCATCCTTAGAAAATGATGGGCTTGCCATCTGTGAAATTGGGGCTGGAACCGGAGGCTGTAGATTTGTAAGAGCAGGTTTGTGTTTTGTCTTTTGGCATCACAAATCTACCAGAAATGGGTGCTTTGCAACTAACCGTGCTCCTCATGGCATCCATTTTATGAACAGGCAAGCCCCATCATGGCAGCCATTTTGTGAGAGTGCCCATGACATGGTCTCAGAATTCCAAATGTGTCCACTGGTCCCAAAAGCCTGGGGATCCTTGGTCTAAGGACATGCTCCCTATTCTGTAGGCCAACCTTCTCCAGCATAGTGCCTTCTGGATGAGTTGGACTACAACGAGGTATTACATATGCCAAGGTGGTGGGGATGATGGGGGTTGTAGTCCAACACAAGCGAAGGGCGCTGGGACCAGGGACAGTTGCTGTAGCTATACTATGGTTTCTCTGGAGAGCATCTCAAGAACATGAAATGTAGGCGTTGTGGAGTGAAATAATGTCCTCTTTGGGGGGCAGCTACTGGTGTGTTGATTGACCTTCACGTATCCCTCACTAGATTGACCAGCTGAAACACTGGCTGAATAAAGTGGAGGAAGAATGCAAACTGGAAAGGAATCAGTCTTTGAAGCTCAAGAATGACATTGAAAACCGGCCAAAGAAGGAGCAAGTTCTGGAACTGGAGCGGGAGAATGAGATGCTGAAGACCAAGATACAGGAGCTGCAGTCCATCATTCAGGTGAGCAAGGGCAGAGGCTTGGGCCTGGATCCAGCGGACTGGATGGCGTGATGGTCAGCAGCTTGGCTGGCTTTGGCTGTGGGGGAGCACTTCATAAAACGGAGAGCAGCTCAGGCCGAGAGACTATAATGACTTTTGTGATGCCGCCCAGGGCAGAGACCCCTGGTTACCCTGGCCCTGCGGGAGGTTCTCTCAATGTAGAATTTTCAGGCACTGGAGAGTTGGACATCAGAACCAGAACAATTGCCCTGCCACGTTGGACCAGCCTACTTCCGTGTCCCCCACTTGCAGGACAGAAAGGGGGTGGCCCAAGAGAGAGCCAAGCAGCCTTTGGGCTGGCCCAACAGCTTAGCTCGGTTTTCAGTGCCTTCCACCTGCATTCAAAGGAAGTATGATCGCTGTTCCCTTTGGCTGGCTCTGGGCTCTTCCCTGGCAAATAATACTTTGGAACATTGCAACTGTTAATCAGCACGACTAAACCTGAGCTTAATCACAAGGTGGAAATGAAGCCGTTGAGAAAAAGAGCTATAATTAATTGGAACTAGACTGCCAGTACAGGTTAGACGTGACTCCAGAGCAATGCAAACTTCCCAAAGAATCAGTCCACCCAGGTCTTTTTCACTCCTTGGCACTGAAAGAGAAATGCCAGGGACCCAGGAAGGCATCTCAGGTGCCTCTAGATTCTGGGCAGCCTCCCCTCCGGGCTGTGGATGCTCTTAACACCCTTGGAAAAGCCTAATTTGTGAGCTTGCAGTAGTGACCTGGAGGGGCCTGAAATGCAGGGCGGTTGGTGGAAGGGACGGGACCCATGGAAACTTTCTGTGTAACAAGGCCACAACCCATAGGATCGCAATGCTCTATGCTGCTAAAATCCAACTCCAGATGTTTTTGTGGGATGACAAGAGGCACGGCTTTAGTTCCGCACCCAACAGTCTCTCAGTGTGCCCTTTTGGAAAAAAGAATAAATTGATTTCATGCTATTTAGAAGGTCTTACCAGTGCGCCACGATGGAAGGCATTTACCAGCTTATGTTTTCAAACCAGGCCTTCAGCCTACCTTGAAAGCAGATTTTCCAAAGCTCCTGTCAAACAGAAATTTGTCCTTGCGACCAGGCACATGGGAAGGGCCTGGAATGTTTTCTCCTCCATTGTCCTTTTTTATGATAGTACAAGGAAGAAGACTTTGGGTCAGATTATTGGTAGCTTCTCAGGTTCAGACGTGGGATGTATGAATTTTCTGCTGGCAGAGGCAGCCCCCTACCTCAGCCCCCTACCTCAGCCCCCTACTTCAGCCATTTTACCACATTACCTTTTAAAATGAAAAAGAATATTTTATCCACTAACCCAGTTGGCCCTGTGGCCAAATAACATTTTAGGCTGCATTTCTCTGCATTCCATTTATTCATGGGGACTATCATGGTTTTAGAGGCTTGATATGTATACCTTGGTTGGATTTTGTGCGTCTGTTTGGACTGCGACGCAACTACTACTACTTTGTTGTGGGTTGCTGGTTGGATTGCGGCGGCTGTTCCTGTGCACTGCTTGCCATATCGCTAAGCCATTTGCAAGAGAATTTAAGCACATTAAAACACATGGTAATCAATTAAACTATTAAGCCATTGCTTAAACATGGATTGAAAACATTGATAAAAGCATTAAAACCAATAAAACAGCAGAATTAATAAACTGGGCAGCATGCTTGCTCAGAGAAGGCCAGGATGAGGAGATAGGTCTTTAACTGAAGCCCGGAGCATGAATATACTACACATCCTTGGCACATCATGCATATATTTCAACACAGGCCTGGTCACCACTGGGGACCAGAAATCCCGTGTGGGAGGCCATCTCCCAAACTGTATGGAAGCCCAGCACAGAAAAGCGTCTTTCTGTCCTTTCTCCATCAGACCCAAAAGGAGGATAATAATGTGCACAGGGCAGTGACTTCTTACGTGAGCTTATTTACAAGGCCGGAATAAATCCCATTCCACTTGATGGCACATACCTTTGAGTCAACGGATGCAGAGTCAAGAAATCCGTAGGGTTGGATCTGAGACTGAACAGAGGAGAATAGCATGAGTGTTTCTGCTTCAGCAAATCTTTCTTTGCTTGTCACATATTTGTACCTTTTGACTCTCGGGTTTATGAGATTATTTTTGGATGGCAAATTACTTAAAAGCAAGGGGGAAAGAGCTGTAGCAGCAACCAAGGTGGAAACATTTGTTCTGGTTGGTAGCAGAGACGACTCCAGGCATGGATTTTTGATTCTTCATGGCATGTTGCCCTGAAAGGACTGTGTGTGTTTTAAGAACGTCTCTGCTGCACAGAAGCATCTTGGAGCAGAAGCAAAGAATGGATTGGTTTTGTGGAAATGTGCTATGCTAAGAAGACGTGTTTGCATGGTCCAGAAGAAAAGGCCTCAGGATCTGAGGGGTATGTGGCAGGGAGGTGGGGGTTATGAGCTTTAGGATCTGATTCGGAGGTCTACCAGGAAGCAACAGAGAAACAGAGTGAGTCAGAATGGGTCTCCCGGGCCATCTAGTCTGACCTCCGGCACCAGCCGGCTCCGCTCACGACATGCCCACCATGTGCATGTCCAGCCTATCTATAGAATCATAGAATCCAGTCTCCAGGGTGGAAATACTGGGGAAGTGCCTCTTCCAGTTCGAGAATTCACAAATGAAAATAGTTGCAAGCCAAAATCCATCCTGTCTAGCAATAGGAGAGCCAGCAATTTTCAAAGTCATCAATATTCAGAAATTCACGTAGAGGCTCATTTTCTGGCATTCTCATTTCTTTCTTGGTCTGTTTCTCAGCTCGGTCAGATGGGGAACATTCACATTTCAGGCAGAAAAAATGCACGCTTTCCCCTACTGACGTGAAAACGTTTCTGTTTAAAATCAAACTGCACTCTGGATTGGGCTTGCATTCATTACTGCAAGCAGGATGTGTTTCCATGATTTGTGAACAGAAAGCAGGCTCCAGTTCATCCGTTTGCAGGGCTCAAAATGCGGTGCAGTGAGAATGGACATTTTTTAGGGATGCAGGGAAACATAATCACCCTCAGCATGTCTTCTTGGCACTTGCATGCTGGCTGATGCAATTTAAAAATTAAGACATAAGTAAATGCGTGTGTGTAGCTTCCAGCATAAATGCTTGCAGGGCGGCCAATCACCCATTTTCTTCCGAGTGCTTTCCCCAGCAAGCCATACAATAGCATTGCATAACATTGTTCTAATCCAGCCTTCCAAATCCCACATCTTGCAACCAGCATAGTGGGCTGAGACAAGCTGAGTGTTATAATTCGACACGTCTGGAGAGTGGCAGCTTGGAGAAAGCTATAAAGGCTTTTCTGGAGGCAGCAGGGTCCCCAAAGAGCCCTGATCATTTCTTAAAGCTGTAATCTTTCCTTGCTGGCTTAAAACAAATTAGATAATGTCAGATGATTTACTGAATTTGCTTAAGGTTGTCTTCCCCAACAGCAAAAAGTGTGTCGCTCTTAAAGAGAAATAGATATCATGGGGGTGGGGGGAATAAAATTCTCCAAAAGTCAAGTCATTTCGGCTTGAGTCTACCAAAATCTCAAATCTCTGCGGTGGCGCCCCACCTATGGAATGCGCTCCCCAGAGAGGTCTGCCTGGCGCTGTCGTTATTTGTTTTTCTGTGCCAGGCCAAGACCTTTTTATTTTAATGATATTTTAATAACTTTTAATATCAGTTTATAGGTTTTAATATGCAGCCAGGGTGGATCTGGATTTTATCTGTATTATGTTTTATTTTATTTATGTAAGCCATCCCGAGGCTATGCGATGGGACGGCATAAAAATGCCCTAAATAAATAAATAAACAAACAAACAAACTAGACCAGTCTTCCCCAGTCTGGTGCCCCAGATGTACTGGACTGGAACTTTTATGATTCCCATCCTCAGAACGGCACATCAGACCTGCTTGAGGAAAGTCAAACTAAACCCACTATTTCTTGAGAGTTGTCAGCAAGGGCGTTTGCCATGTGACTCATTTTTCTCCACATCCATGAGGGCGAGAAACTTGGTGGGGTTTTCCCTCTCCAGTTTCTGAGGAAGCCACCAGCCTGTGCACTAAAGACAGAGGAACCACTGACGGTGCAAACTGAAGATAGGGTCTCCCAGATGCGGTGCTCCAAGGCTGCTGTTGTTTTTAAAACGTCAAAGATGATATTCTAAAATGTAGCAATAGAAACAGTTTATGAAAACACTTGTCCTGAGTTATCGGCACAGGATTCTTTAGACCCTTTGCTTTCCTGAAAGTTGTAAAATCTAAAGAAATACTCATCTTTTACTTCTTCCTTCCCTTCCCCTTCATATTCTTGGGACTGCTTTTCCCTTTCCTACCCTTTCTTCTCTCCTTCTAAAACATCCACGCAAGGCAGGCTGGGGAACCCAGCTTGCCAGATTCCGACAAAGCCATTTTGGACATCCTGGAGCATGACCGGAAGGAAGCCCTGGAAGACCGCCAGGAACTGGTCAACAAGATCTTTAATCTCCAGGAAGAAATCCGGCACGCAGAGGACCTGCGAGATAAGGTGAGAGGGAGGCCAGGAAGGGATGGGGACAGAAACTCAAATGTGCTGCAATTTCTTTTAAGTTCTCTAAATGTGCTCACCTTATTCTGGGGGTCTCCAGTCGGCATGGTTTTATTTATCAAGCTCCTGGAATTCTGCATTGTAATGGCTGCCCAGACAGCATGGTGCTAACGGACAGCTGCTGTACAAAATTTAATAAGAAAGCAAGAAACAAATATCAGAGCCGGGAGACATAGCCAGTATTGCGCTTTTCATTTGCCATTTTGCGCATCACCTTAATTATTCCGGGTGGAACAATAAGCCGCTCGTCATTTTGGATTAAGTCTCAATACATATGGGCATCTTTGATGCCCCTTTTGTGGCCCCGTGCAGGATCGGCTTCACCGTTCCTTTTGCTGCCTGTTCCCTGGGGTTAGAATGCTTTGCGACAAGCCTTGGCCAAGGGAATTTGGAGCAGTGGCCCAGCTCCACACGCCCTCCCGGGGACCGGGGCAAAGATCCAGCACGAGGCTTTGCGTGGCTCCAGGTGGGGCTGCGTTCTCTGGAGCACTCTGCCTTTGGACTGATCGCCTTGAAGCACTATGCTTATTGATTAATTTGTAGTACCTCGAGGAGAAACAAGAGCTGGAGTTAAAATGCTCGACTCTGGGGAAGGACTGCGAAATGTACAAGCATCGCATGAATACGGTGATGATACAGCTGGAAGAAGTGGAGAAGGAGAGAGACCAGGTAGCTGAGGTCAGACGCGTGGGGGGCAGGGGTCGGGGAGCCCAGGAAGCATCCTCTGGAGAAGAGAGAGAGATCAGAGCTCAAGACTCCTCGGGCCACTAGGCAGGGTGTGTGGGAGGGCTTGGCGGCTTCCCCCTCTTTCTTTAATCCTGGGAATGGGGAGGGATTTAAGAGGACAAGAAGGCAACGGGTTCAGGTTTAGTCCTCTGTCTGTAATGGGGCATGCATGCTTACACATGAGTAGGAAAAACCAAGACAGCTCAGCTACACCCTTCATGATTCATGGAACACGAAGCCTGGGCTTTCCATGTTCTTCAGCCAAACTTTGTGGGGTGTTGTAACAGCAACAGAACCCCAAGATTTGCAGAAATGCAAAATAAGTCAGGGGAAAAATCCACACACTTGTGGAGCAAAGAGGGACTGAAGCCAACGCAGTGACTGAGCCGATTCAGGGTAACATTCTGACTATTGGGGGGCAGAATGGAAAGGAAGTGGTGGGATTAATGGAGCATTCTGGGAAATGGAATATGGCTGATCCCGTGGTAGTCCCAAAAACGTGTCACATCAAAGAAATATCTCAACTCAGAAACTTACCCAATCCTTTTTTCTTAGAGATCGAACGATGGGCAAGTGTGCTATCGTACGCTGGCTTAAAATTTGCCAGACTAGGCAGTAGAGCTAATCCAAGTATTCAGAGCACATTTCCGCCCATCTGCATTCCCTCCATTAGACAGATGGGATATTGGTCCAAGATGGCTGCCCCCAGAAGGCGCTTGGCAGCTCACTGTCGCTCCCTAGGGGTCAGCTTTGGCATTGACCCAGCCAACAAGTTCCTCAGGTCATGGAGTTGAAGCCCACCAGACTGTCATTGCTAGGAACCACCAGCTAAAAATGATGCCTTGCCTTTATACGGCACCATCTTCCCCAAGCCATTCCCTTCAGATATTTTGGGCTAGTGCTCCTGTCCTTCTTGGCACTTGGCCATGCTGGTTGGGGCTAATGGGAACTGTAATCCAAGATCTCTGAAAGAAAGCAGATTGTGAAAGTGTGCTGCAGCCAGTCCACTGGAAGCTTGACTTTCCAGGGGGTGCCATCTGCTTGGGGTTATTGTTGAGCATCAATAAACTGCAGCATCCCGCCTTCACATCCCCGACTCAGATCCCCTGGCACTGCTTGCATGTCCTGCTGCCCTCTGAAATCACAGCTTTCCTTGGTTCTTCTCTCGGCACCACAAGCAGCGGAGCTGCAAATTGGTCATACTCTGCTGATGGAGCATCTCTCGTGGTGCAGCTTGTCACACTGTCCGAACCCAGGCAGCATGGCTTGTCTGAAGGTTAAACAACCCCCATATAACCCTTGATCTGGTATTGAGTTTTTTGAGGGTTGTCCAACTCTTCGACAAGTCAAGCTGCCTGGGTCTGAATGACATGGCAAGTCATCGCCAAGTCCCACCAACGTGCTCTGCAGGTGGTGGAGGCCCCGTCGGCGCGGGTGTTCAAAGATAGGCTGGACTTGCACACGGTGAGCAGAGCCGGCTGGAGCCGGGGGTCAGACTAGATGGCCCGGGAGGCCCCTTCCGACTCGCTCTGTTTCTGTGTTTCTAACTTAAGCCACCATGGGGAAAAATCCCCTCCTGGAGGGGTTGACATTCTGGGGTGAAATGGGATCGAGGTGGCCCATGACAGAACAGGTATCTGACATTCCCTTGCTTCCGGAGGCATTCCGTTCCCGTGATGAGGCACAAACCCAGTATGCCCAGTGCTTGATCGAGAAGGACAAATATCGGAAGCAGATCCGGGAGCTGGAGGAAAGGAACGACGAACTCCGGATCGAGGTGGTCCGGAAGGAGGCCTGCATCATCAACCTGGAATGCAAGCTGAGGCGCCTCTCTAAGGACAACTGCTACGACCAGGTAGGGCCAGCGAGGGCCTGCTCCGGTGCCTTGCGCTGGGCGGGCTTGGCGCCAGCACCTGCCGTGCTGCTGGTGGGCCGGCTTGGCTGGGCCAGGCAGCTCTGCTTCTGGATGCAGCGCCCGGTGGTCCAAGGGACAGCAGGGGGCGAGGCGGTGGGGGGACATCAGTGCCCGTCAGCGGCTTGTGAGCGGGGACTGGGACGTGCTGCAGGCCGATCCCTGGCCGTCGAACACTCCCAGGCTCCAGCTGAAGACACGCTTGAAGCAGGACCGCTGCCCCCACCAAAACTGGCTGGCACTGGGAGGAAGGGGAGTGTGCTCTGGGGTGGAGCCTCACACCCCACGCCACTTCCGAGCTTCGCCCCAGGCATTCAGAATCCAGGCCCTGACTTTCATTCTGGCCAGTGGGGAGCTACCACTTGGAGGGGGCGGGTGTTCCTGCTCGATCGGGGGCTGCGTCCCCTTGCAGTCCATCTGTCAAAGCACCAAATCCAGCAGAGGACTGAGTTCGCCAAGGGGGCTGAGATCCTTATGAAGCCAAGCCAAGCTCCACATCCCAAGGTCTTCAGGTCACCAGTTCCCCACTCTGCGCTGTGTACGACAAAAGGGCTACTATCTCAGTAGGAGACCATGTTTATCTCGCCAACAGTCCCCTTTCCTTCCTTTCCAGAGTTTACCAAGGAATCTGCCCCTCACAGTGATCTCCCAGGCTCTCGAGATCCCCTGCCCCAAAACCAACGGCCAGGAGGCAGATGACTCTTCCACATCTGAGGAATCCCCTGAAGACAGCAAGTTCTTTCTCTTGGATCAGCCTCGATTCCGGAGACGGATGAACCTGAAGGGCATCCAGGTACATTCCTAGAATCCTAGAATATTAGAGTTGAAAGGGGCCATGAAGGCCATCAGGTCCAACCCCCTGCCGTTGCAGGACACCGCGTTACACCCCTCCTAATGAGGTTTGAATGCCCAGAGGTTCTGGTGGGAGGTTCTGCTTGAGACTTGAGGGCCTCGTTATGACTTCCCTCTCCTCTGCCCCATATTCTTCCACTTGACTGGACTTTCCAGCATCAGATCACAGGTCCAGGTGAACAACAATCTCACTAAAAATAAAGCTATTTCTTGGTCCATTTTGCAATGAAAGGAATTAGTTGCTCTTCGATAAGCAAGTGGCTCTTTGGAATTGCTTGCTGTTTTTTGGGGCTGCCACTGCCTTGTTGTTTTTTGGGGCTGAAGCCTCCTTGGTAATTCTAGAAACCTGGTGAACAGCAGATCCAAGAACAGGAAGGAGACTCCGTTGCCCTAAATTTGTTGAGGTCTCCCTAAAATGTAAAATTTTGAAGGAGTCAAGAACAGAAAGCTGGGGATCCCTCTGGCACCATGGAGGCCCTGGGCTAGAGATCCATTTAGCACCCCTTTAAAGAAACCTGTTTAGTTATCAGCCCTTGCATGGAGCCCGGATTCAGCAGCATCTTTTCGAAAGATGCCTCTCTCTCCTGTGTTTGGCACCGCTGCAGTTCTGCTGCTGCAGTTTCATCCTCCAAAAAGCCTGTTCACAGATGCTGACACCTGGAACGTCTCCCCAGAACACCTGTGCGGTGCTGACACGCTTTCTCCTTCTCTAAAACACGTTTCCCATTAAATCCCCCCAAGATGGTTTTTGCTTCCTGCCCCCACCCATGCACGCACGCACGCACGCACACGCGCGCACGCACACACACACACACTGTTTACAGCAAACAGCCACTCGGAGGTGGGATTCTGGGGAGAAGGGGCACGGTGGAAAAGGGGTTAAACGCATCTGACTAAACTGGCTATTGAAGCCTTGCTAAACAAGGGGAAAGGATGCACAAGAAAGATCGCGAAAGAGGACACTGCTTTGCATAAAATAGCATCTGCTAAGGCGTGTGTGGGGGGGGGGGGAGAGGTGCAGATTAGAAACAACTGCTATGACTTAAATAGGAACGTGATGCATTGCAGTGGAGCAGATGTGCTTCAGTGACTCAGCCAGCTGTCCAGATGTGAGCTGGGGCAGGATGGGCAGCACCTTCAGAGCTCCCCCTCCCCCTCCTTAGGGTGCTTTACCTCTAAGCTGGACTTGACCTGGACAGTCCTGCAGGTAGACGGTGCCTTCGGTTAGAGGCTCCTCTTCCGACAGATAGATGGCCAACCTCCGTCAAGCAGGACATGTGGCCACCCTGAATGCCAGCTCCAGATTTGGGAGGGGCCCCTGCTCTCCCTCCCCCGGTGAGCCTCCCTCCTCCTGGCCATGGTCCCAGCTGCTTTGCTCCTCCCCCTCCTCCTCATCCTGGTTACCGCTTGCTTGCTTGATGGGCAGAGAGCCCGGAGCAAGGTGGCCTCGCCGTCTCTCGCCCCTGCTCAGCACCTCCGTTGCCTGGGCTGAGGTGAGGGGCAGGTGCAGGAGCGGGTTGCAATGCCAAAGAGGGGGAGCGGCTCCCAGGGGCTCGTGCCGCTGGGCCCCTGCTGCAGGGTGGGCCCTCAGCAGCGGCCTGACTGTGCCTACCCTTGAGGGGAGCCGTTATCTGGAGAAGAGCCACCCGCAGGCGCGTTTTCTACCGAAAGACTGTGGCATGCTTTCATCAGCACATGAGGAATCTAGAAGCAACCCTCCGCTGCTTGCTTCTGAGTAAACAAGCACAGATGCCTTGAGCATGCTCAGTGTTAAAGCACCATGGTGGGCGGCACGGTATTTCTGGTGCCCTGCCTTCTAGCTACAGAAGGCCACCAAGAGCAGTGGCTACAGCTGCTTTGAACCTGTCACGGTTCACCCTCCCTGTGGAGAACCGTGAGCCCAGGTGGGATACTTTAAAGGATGTTATCAGTCCTATTCCATAGGTCTGTTCTGATCAGAATATAACTCCTTGGTACTTCTGCACCAGCACCCAAAAAAAGAAAATTCAGAAAAATCTGAGTGGTACTGTAAGACCAGAGCAAATGGAGGAACTGATGGACAGCAGAGGGTGGAAAAGTTCCTGTTGGCTGGAAAGAGTCAGAGAAACAAAGTCAGCCAAACTCCAGAGCAAAATTAGCTACCTAATTCAGAGTTAAATTAAGCCATGTCTTTTGCTCATTCAAGTGTACAGGGAGATGTGCTTGAAATCCTTGATTCTGCTTGATTGACTGAGTAACAAGCACTTCTGCCACATGGTTAAACTCTAAGAAAGTTTTACTAAGGCAGATTTAGCTCCAGCAGGAGAATGGGTTGCTTCTTTCTGCCTGTATTGATCGCCTTCTGGAAATTGTCCTAAATGCTGCTCCCACCTCACTGTCAAGCAAAGGAACTCCTGTTCAGAATAAAAAACCCCACATACAAAATTACCTGGACTGCAGCGACAGACCTGGGGATTTATTAGCACACATCCTGGCCTGGAGGTATGGCCTGAATGAGAAGCTTCAGAGCTGGCACTGACAGCTGTCTTCAAACTTATTCATACGTTGTCTTCCCCAGCCTGGTGCCTTCCAGACATGTTCCCAGAATCCCCCAGCCATACACTGTCTGCCAGTCTTTCCCAGCCTTCCAGACGTGTTCCCAGAATCCCCCAGTCAGAAGACACCAGTTTGGGGAAAGGATATCACATACCATCTCAGTCCAGTTGTTGGTATATTTGCATGGGAATATAAAACCTATCTCTAGACTGTTGCACCTTTTTGCTCACCTGCGTAGTACACACAGGTGATCTGTCTCAGAACACAAAAGTCCTATCACACACTGGGGTTCAAGGACTCTCGCACACCACGGTTTCTCAGACCGACTGGTAAGCTATGTCTTTGACGCAACACGTGGCTGGAATTTCACTGCCAGCCCCGCCATTCCAAGGTATTGGGGGAGAAAGCTGGGGGCCAACAATCTCCCTTGCACCCCCTGTGCTTTCCGGCTGCTTTCGGGTGTGTGCATGTCTGGCGGGGGAGAAGATGCAGTTGCATTTCCAGTGCCAAGGACAGGTACGGCTTTGGTCCATCGGTCTGGCCGCCATCTTGTTCTTCACTCCGGGCAGCGGAATGTCTTGAGCTGTCCCTCTGGGCCTGCATGTCATAATGTGTGAACGAGGCGCAAAGGATACCGCTACTGAACTATGGCCTTCTGGGATGCAGCCGCTGGGAAGTGTCGCTGCGTTCGTGGTCTGCTGTAGGATTCCCAGCGGCGTCTGTTTGGCTGCTGGTTGGTGAACTGAACGTTGGGTTGGGGTCAGTAGGCCTTGGCTTGCTCTGGCAACGGTGTTCTGCCTTCTGCCAGCCCTGCTTCCAGTTAGGCAACCTCAAAGCTGACCTCCGCAAGGGGGCCTGTTGTCCCCTAGCAGTCTTCCCAATGATTGTACAAACTTTCTCATGCCTGTTCCCCGGAGTTACCAAGTATGGCTTTTGAACAAAATCCCTGTGATTCTTACAAAACAGACATTGCGATATATTGGTTACTTCTGCCTTTTCTCCTTTCCTTTCCAAATGAGGTGCACAAAGCCATTGCTTGTGACTGGGGAAAGTGTGGGAGGTGTGTGTTTTCCGGGGAACCCTAACACATCTCCCTAGTTCAGCGTGATTTTTGTCCTCTTTCAGCTGCCAAGAATAAAATCCCCCGTCAGATGGAGCAAAGCATCAGAATTTCAAGGTCAGAGAAGAAACTCACATCCCCGTTGCCTCTCTCATCAGTTTTTCTTGTTAATACTCAAGCTGTCTCACTTGTTCTAACAAACATTTCCAAGCAAGCAGACGCGGCGCTTCATTCCCCGAAGATAAGCGAGTTCTTTTTTCTTCCCTGAGAGCAAAGACTTGTACACTTCACTTAAGAAGGACAGGTGCTTGGCCCAGTCCTGATTCCCATCTCTCTGTGGGGACTTCTCCACATGAGGGTTTTAAGCCTTTCCATGACTGAGAATTCTTCCTCCTTTTTCACTTCAGAAAGAAAAATGTGTCCTTTATACCTTTCCCCTTGTTTTAACCTTTATTTCTCTGCTTTCCTTATATTCTGTTAACTAGCCACAAGGTGGTGCTTTGGTTTAGCTGCAGTAGCGTGAATGTCTGGCAATAGGCAAGGCTTATGTTCTGGTTAGTCGTCATTCCAAATTTAATACCAGAGCTTCCTTGCTGGAAAAAGGAAAACCTCCAAAGTCTGCAGAATGCCAGAAAGGTTCTGGTAGCCTTGCAAACTTCCCTGAGTGAGGGATCTTGGGGATGCAATACATGCCTTGTTTATAGAAACTCTGGCTGAGGATATTTCTGTGCAAGAAATATCAAGATCAGCTCATGTATAGTTGTCAAGATCAGCTCATGCTAGGACTCAGGGGAGGTATTTTTGGAGGAGGAAGATCCCCTCTGCTAAGCTCAGCAGATAGCAGGAGAAAAAGTACTGCATTTGTACATGGATGGATGCCGAGTACCCAGATCTGAATCCGATTTAACTAAACATTGGCCCTTTAAAAATACTTCATGCATTCATGCTGATAGTTGGAGTTGGGATGCGGGGGACAGGCCAGTTTAACAAAGCATTTGAATGTGTGAATTCCCAAAAGTTACACTCAACAAGGACTTGCAGCTCTCTGTTTAGATCTGTTCGCCAACCATGGGGATTTTTGGATAAAAAGGGAAGCATTCAATAAGACCAGGAAACAAACAAACAAACAAATGATTTTCTTGGTTACTGGAGCAAAAACCAAAAAAGGAGGCAAGTAGAGAGAGAAAATTAGCGACAGAACCACGAGAGGATTGGTAAAGCCGACTCCAGTAATAATGACGTGTGTCGGGAATCTTGTTTGCGCAGAATTATTTCCAGGCCGTAACGCCAGCATCTCGGTCATCGCTCATCCCCTCTGCCTCTGCCTTTACCCGTTCTTGTCATTTGTGATCCAGCAGTTCGAGGAAACGACGAAGACCGAGGAGACACCAGCAGCAACCACACGGACCCCAATTCCTCCAACTCTGTTTCCATCAGCACCTCGGTGGGCAGCTGTGAAGTCGGCAAAATTGTAAGAGGACGATGGGCCCGTGCCTTGCCTGACCTTCTCTGCAGTTACGGGTCTATTTCTGTGTTGGTGATTTCAACCTCTACAAAATTGAAGGCTGCACCAGTCTTCAGCCTTAATCATTTTTGCAGCACGATCCTATACACATCCAGACAGAAAAGAGTCCTACAATTCCTACTATTATTACTATTATTATTATTATTATTATTATTATTATTATTATAACATTTCTATGCGGCCCTTTGCCGAAGCCTCGGGGTGGCTTACAACACAATAAAATACATTGAAATACAATAGAACATAATAAATTACCACTAAATACAAAAATACAAAAAATGCACTGAGATACAAACGTAATAATATAAAATTAAAATTAACAGTATAAAATAAGTAAATAAAGAATAGAGGAGGAGAAAAGAGAAGGAAGAAGAAGTTGCCCTGGCCAGATCATATGCACCTGCATTATGCTGTCTGGTCCATACTGGGATGGCAGGGTACTTTTCAGTCGAATCTTACACAAGATTGCACCATTAATGTCCTTTTTATTAGAGTGGTTTCCTCTTCAAAAAATATCCCCTTGCTGAGTTATATTTATTTAAAGATATTTTCCCTGCCTTTCACAGTCTCTTCTATCAATTTTAGCTGTCGGAGGGTACAGGTAGTCTTTCTTTGCAGCATTGCAATTGAAACTTTTTTAAGCGTATCATTTTCTAAGAAGCCTTACAGTTTCGTGTCCTTAACCAAAGCTGGGTCAGGATCAGGGTGCTGTTAGAAGCTGGGAGTGGATGGGGATTTGGTGGACACCAGCTGATCCATTTCCCCCCTGCTTGGAAGTATTCCCATAATATCTCAAAGGAGGCATCCCATTACCTGACAAAGCGATCAGGGACACAGCGGGTGCAGAGACTTAGATGGGGAACGGTCTTGTGGAGTGTTAATAAAAGGCCTCGCTCAAAAACACTTCGCTGGAGGTCTGGAAGAGACGCAGCCCACAGGAAATTAAAGGAACGCTCTGCCGTGGACGCGAGCTGTGCCGGCTTGTAACAGCAGTAATTGGTGGCTGCGGCGATGCAGCCGATAGGGCAGAACTCCGGCCATGATGCGTTCCAGTCCCAGCTCTGCCACGCAGGTCAGCAAGCAAACGTGGGCAGCAGGGAACAGCTGTCACCGTTTAGCCCTGGGGTCCCCTGCCTGGACCCCACGAGAGCCAAAGACCCACACGCACCTCTCTTGCTGGCCAGAAGTGTGGCCGGTTTCTTTCCCAGCTGGGAGGCTGGCTTGCTGTGAAAGGACGTTCTGCGTTCCAGCCCCATCTTTCTGGGGTTTGGGGCTCAAACACCCCCTCCGCCTAGGCTGTTGGAAAAGTGGCTCTTCTTTCGGTCTTGCCTGGGCGGGGTTGACCGGGCAGCCATTTTGTGAAAGCACCCACAACATTTCTTCAAGATTCCAGCTGTGTTAGTCAACCCACTGTAAGGGTCCTGTGCATCACACAGACACAAACACGCGTGTGTGGCATCAGCAGCTCCCAGTGGGGGCAGATAGAAAATTTGGGTCAGGGAGAGGTTGAGCAGAGAGATCTGAGCAAGGGAGCAAGCAGAAACCAGTAAACCAGGCAGGCAGGATTGGCCCAGGCTCCACAATGGCAATTGGGGAGAGAAGCTGCCGATACAGAATACTCATCCGTCTAACTCAGTATCGCCACAATTATCTGATGGGCAGTGAACCGAGGGCAACAGCTTTGCAAGTCCCTTTATTTCTGGTTGGGTCCACTTTTCCTCTGTTCCTTCCTCAGCCGGTTCTTTTCCTGCATCAACCTGTGATTTTTTTAGAACACACACATTCAATCGGTTGAATATATTGCTTCGCAAAACATTTTCCTGCCTCTCTCATCGTATAATATGCATTTAAACCTGAAGTCAAGTGTTGCCATGTGTGTTTTGGTACATTTTTGGAGGTGCAAACTGTATGGCATATTTCAGAGAAGTGTGAAGACGGGGGGGCGAGCAAGGGGTAGCCATGATGTGGAAGAGGATGAGGAGGAAGAGCAGCTGCAGACAAGGGTGGACTTCCAGGGGAGGGGGCTGCCTTGGCCCTTGCAAACCTGGAGTCAGCCCTGCTGATAAATAAACCTGAAATCCCCCTGCTGTTCCACAGCAAACGTGAAAACTAATTTCGAGGCTTAAACTGAACCCACCGGGTGGAGGGGGAGGAAATCACCCCTGTGTCGTTATGTAAATCCTGCCTTGTGATGGATAGAGGATTGTGCACCTCGCCATCAGACGTGCAGCCAACAAGCATGTTGGTTGGTGGGAAGGCAGAAAGCCGGGAAGGTGTGGAAAAGCCCGGCTCCAGCAGGTCGGTGACCCAGACACCCCGGCTTGAGATGCTTCGTGCTTGGGCATCTTCCAAAGATCCCAGTTGCTGGGAACTCGTGGGAGAGAAAAGAATGTGTCGGGTGGAGAAGAGGCCTTGAACTTTGTTCAGTCTGTAGGCCAGATTCCATTCCAAAAAGCTGCCATTGGCCAGCGGTGACAGGGCCAAAAGACGTGCATATTTTATCCTAAAGCTCTTAGTGCCAGTAACTAAGCGGGATTGCAGCCTTTAGGGCCCAGGGGAGAGGGGGAACAAAAGCCAGGAAGCCATCCCGTGGTCAAGGGAAAGGGGTGAACCCAGGAGAAGAGAGTGTAGCCGGAAGGGGAGACTGGATTTGGCCCACAGGCGTGAAGTTCGATATCCCTGATACAAATGGGCAAGGACTGAAAAGGACCGTGGTGTCTATAGGCTGCAAGCCTTTGTCCATTTCCCTGGGAGAAAACCCCACAGAGCTCCAGGGGCTTCACCCTGAGCAGAGTTGTAGAGAGGATTGTGGTGTGATGGCTGGGCGGCCATTTGTGTGTTTGCTCATCTTTGGCCCTCTCGTCCACACGCAGCAAACGCTACGGAGTCGCAACCCAAGCCTCATGTCCACAACCCCGGAGCCTCCAGGGAACGACTCCATCGTCCGGCGTTACAAAGAAGACGCGCCCCATACCAGGTGGGTGCCCCAGGGCCAAGGAGGGACGCTCAGCGAGGTCCATCCGCTTTGTATAATCCCCCGTTCCCCTCTAAGGTGGGCTTGGGATTTCCGCCTCAAGCCAGGCTCAAATTCTGCAGGAAAGGTCAGTCTTAGTGCTGACTTCTGGCAAGGAGAGTCAGTGCAGCTTCTCCAGGCAGCTGTTCCCCAGTGGCTTGGTGGCCATCATCCCCAGTCACAAGGACCCAGCACTGTTTTCTGCCCTTCAGCTTGCAGTTCCCATCAGCCTTCGTCAGCAGAGCCATGGGGAGGATGGAGGCCCAGACAGCTCGAGGGCACAAGTTTCTCACTCCTGCCATAGCCCCTTTCCCAGAATTCCCCTGGGGACAAGGCTCCATGGCACCTCCCCGGAGGGCACTGGGAGAATCGTGGCCACCGTGGCTGCCACCAGCAAGCCCTCTCCTTCCTTGTTTTGGCACCCACCAGGAAAAAGTTGAATCCCGCTCCACCTCACCTCCAAGTTCATGGCACACGAACGGAGAATAACGAAGGAAGGCGAGACGTTTTCACACAGCCCTGTTTTTTAAAAGAACTAAACCCGCTGGAGCCTGTGGACTAAAATCGTTGTTTGGGGCCGGGGGGAGACCTTCTAGTGGGGGGAAAAGAAAGGAAACCAAATGCGTCCAGTAGAGGAGTAGGGGAAAGGGGCCTTATTGTCCTTCAAGTTGGTTTTGGCTGGCCTGTACGAGTGGAGTTTTCCTGCCTTTCTTTGTCTTTGAATGCTTTTCTTGCAATCTGATTCCGCGGTGCAGCTTCTCTTTGCAACCCGCACCCCGGTCCCCGGGTATAAATGAGCCCCTTCCCCTTTCCTTAGTGTTGCTTCTCTGCTGACCTTGCAGCTTCCTGCTCTGAGTTCGACATCCCTGGGGTAACCCCTTTTCCCTGGCCGGGCGATGCACCACCGGAGCCTGAGGAAGGGGCGGCGCTGAGGGTGGGCCGCAACAAGGGGCCAGAATCCTCTGAGGCTCCTGCAGGGTTGCTTCCCGCAGTGCCCCAGGCTGACCGTGAGAGCAGGGAGGCTTTGCAGGAGGAGCAGGCGCAGGGTATGGTTATTGGATCCGGTGATGCGATGTCGGAAGGGGCTTGGAAGAGCTCCTCCAACGAGAACCACCCTGCGGCGGAGTCCCAGCCCTCTTGGAAAGGGGGACTGGGGAGACGTTTCTAGTCCGGGTTCAACTCTTGCCATGAGCAGAGTATCGCCCAAGCAGAGCTTCGCACGCACTTTCCTTTCCGCTGGGTGGAGGGTACGTAGAGATCGCCACCATGTGTCAGTAAGGATCCGCACAGCAAAGGGCCGTCGAGGGGTTGGAGCCAGAGGGTGAGGAGGGAAGGGGTGAGCTCAGGACAAGCTGCTCTTCTCTTCCAAAGTCGGGAACGTGTCTGTAGAATCGTGCAGCTTCTGCTTCGGCCCTCCAGAGAAGCTCCGTCAGCAAGTTCGTTGTCCCACTGCACCTTCAAGAGGTGTTGGCTAGCGGTGCCCATTCTCCCCAGCCAGGGATGTTGGGCACAGCAGGCCAACACACCTGGAAGGCTCCAGGCTGCTCCTCTGCTCCCCATCCTGGCGCTTTCTGGGTGCCGCATTAACTAAAAGACCCGCCCAGGAAGGCAGGTGAAATTGTCAGGAGTCTTTGAGCTGCATTTGAGAAAGCAGCCCTGTTTTTCCCTTCAATTCCTGAAAATGCTTCCCTTCAACAGGCGTCTTGCCGCTGGTGACATTTTGCATGCCTGAGTGGGTTTTTTTTTTTATTTTTTGAGTTTGTTTGCTTGCTTCCTGGAGCTGGAAGCACAACACGTCCGAGTCAAAGAGGGGCCTTCTGTGCATGAAACTTACCAAGACGTTTCCAAGACGAGAGTCAGAAATAGCCAAACCCTTTCAGAAAGCGGGAGAGACTGACTTCCCCTCCTGCAGGAAACCTCATGACATCCTCCCAGTGCCAATGTTTGCTTCTGCTGCCAATCTGCCGCTCATCCCTGGGCATTCTTCTCCAGATGTTCCTCCTCTAACCTTGCACCTCCTTCGCTTCGCACACGCCTGTCTGTTGGCGCAGTCTAGCTAGTTCACCTGCCATCTCAGACAGCCTCCTACGTAAGTAGCGCTGCAGCGCTGCGTCTTCTGCCACCCGCTTCTGAACGCTGCAAGTGTAAAAAGTGAGAAAGAGAGGAACCCAACCATCTGCTTGTTCCTTCATTCCAGCCTGACGGAAGAAGACAATGACAGCTTTTGCTGCGACGGCTTGGAGTTAGACGGTAAGGAGGTGGAGTTGGAGTTGGTGGAGCTGCGTCGCCCACTGGAGGCAGGCTGACCTGGGGTCTGACAGGCCCAGCCCTACCACTGGGCGAGTGAAGCAGCTGGCTCCAGTGGCAGGTGCTAAGAGGCAATGGACGAGTGCTGGAGGAGGAACCCGTGTTCTGTGTGCGAACCACTCGGCATCTCCTAGGCCGTCCTGATGCCTTCAGGAAAGGTGGAAAGTGCTGCCCGTCATCCGAGTGGAAGGAAGAGTCATCTGGTGGCCCAGTGGCGATTGTACACAGAATGAGAGGGAGGGGCGTCCTGCCTTTCGCCTGAAGCAGCGTAACGCTTGTGGTGGCCCCAGGACAGGTGGGCCTTGCTGGGCACAGCATGGAAGCATCCCACGGTGGTGGGGCCATTACCGTGGCCCTCTCCCATGCTGCTGCTCAGAATTATCTGGGGGAGAGGCTCCGATGTGAAGCATAGCTTGTGGGTGCGCTCGTACCTGGAGAGGCAGACCACCAGGTATTGCTGTCCTGAGCCACGCAAAGGTCGAGGTGTCACCACCACCTCGAACTGGTCTTGGAAATGCGCCGGCGGCCCATGCAAATGGGCCACAGCAGTGTCTGCTCAGACCTCCTTTCTCTGCCCCTGCTTCAGGACCTGCAATGGGACCCCCTCACCCCCGCCCCCCGCTAAGCACATTTCTGTCCTTGCCTTTCCAGATGACTTCCATGACAGGTATTCCTCGCTGCCTTCCTCAACGTCTTCCCACCAGTCCGAGGGGCTGGACATTGAGCAAGTCAACTCCATTTTCAGGAAGTTCTCCCTGGAGAGGTACAGCGGGGTGTCCCCTGGGCTGGTTTCTGCCTTCGGCAGAGCGGAGTAGCGAAGCCTTGTCTTGGGTGGACCTTCAGCAGAGGGAAGCTCAGTTGGTGCTCCTGCATGGACAAAACCAGGAGAGGCTCTAGCTCCTCTGCCCAGGAAGTCCTTCGCCATTGCAGCCGTTCTTCTGGGCCTCCGGGGGGCTCTCCATGGTGCTGAACCTGTGCTGGCCGTGCAGTCCAGTGCTGTGGGCAGCTTTCAGGAGGTTCAGAGGAAAAATGTCAATGGATAAAGAACCTCACAGCTCAGGAGCCAACAGCTTCCCTCTGCATTAGGAGAAGAATTCAGCCTGGCTGTTTTCCTTTCCTGCTACATTTCTATATGCAGGGAGGGGGCATCTGTTCTGCAAAGGAGTATTGCGAAATGCAACATCCCTTCTCTCCCTTGGGAGTAAAGTCTGCAAAAAGGCTTTATTGCTGAAACAGCACCTCAAGTCAAGCAAATGAGGGAGACCAGACGTTGGAAGGCATGGGAAATGTTCTTCAGGTCCTGATCCTGCCATTCAGGCCAGCCTTTAAGAGGGTCAAAACAGCCTTTGTGGATACTAGATGCTAAAGGGCTCTGTTTGGATGGACACAAGCCGCTGAGAAGTTCTCAGCACTCGTCTCTTCAGAGGGAAGGGGGGCTCCCTTGCTTCGTACAAGACCTCACACTGCTCCAGTTGCGTTCTGGGGTCTTCACACAAGAGCCCCTCAGTGCATTGAACACAATCCTCCATCCTCACCCCCAGTCTCAAACATGTCAGCAGGTAGTGCCCAGTCGCTGGGCCTGCTTAGAGTCAACCCATTGCAGTGAAGCGTTCACTCAAGCCCTGTGCATCTCCACGAGCCGACTCTGGGTGGCAGAAACACAGAATACCGCAAGGCATTTGTTTCTGTTTTATGGCCAGCAGGCAAAGCTTTGGGTGCCTTCACAGAAAAATCCCATGTGATCGGGTTGGATTTATTACATTTCCATACCGTCCAATAGCCTAAGCTGTCTGGGCAGTAGCAATGATTTAAAACATAAAATATAACATAAAATGCACTCTACAGATTTTGAAGTTTAAAAGAGAAGTAAAAATTGATCAAATCACAGCTGCTCATAAACGGACTTACTCTGGCTGGACTAAGTCCCAGGGAGTCCAGAGTGAAGTTTACTTCCTGGTAAGGGTACTTTAGTGTACAGCCTTAAGCATGTTTTCCCAAAATTGCCGATTTGTTGGCTTTGGGTTCTTCCTCGGGGCCAGATTTCAGCCTTATACTGAAGACACTAAAACTGGTGCACAGGGAACCCCGAAGCAGTGCTGCGCATGGGTTTGGAGGTGCAAATATGTCAGTTTTCCTCAGCTCAGCGCCCCAGAGAACTGTCTTGCACCGAGCATTTGCACGGGTGTCCAGCAGGAAGTGAGTCCAAACACATCTGCAGGGCCAGCTTGCACACCCCCTGGGCACCCACAGTTCAAGCCAAGTTTTGCTTCTGAACCTGTGATTTGTGGGCCTTGTATACTTTGTGCAAAGAATCGCACACTTTGCTTGCTTTGTGCAAAAAAGCCACTGGTATTCTGAGCATTTGTGGACTTGATCTCAGCTTGGCTCACTTCCTGGCCAGGGCTGAGCACTGGAAAGAAGTCTGGGGAGTACGAGAGAGCCCCGAGCTTGATTGTCACGTCCCTACCCTGATGAGTTTGGTATGCCTCTCTGGCCATTAAAACTCAACAAAAACTGTGTGTGTTTACAGCTCTCATGCTGCCCTCAGTTCCTTCCCCCTTCATCCTGAGCGCTGAGTTCATCTTTTCCAATCCCAGATGATTGGAGAGAAGCTAAGGAGAATGTCATTTCTTTTCTCGTTGACCCAGGCCGTTCCGTCCCTCGGTAACGTCTGTCGGACGGCTCCACAACACGTTCCATGCCATCCAACAGATTGTCTTGAACGGAGACAGCCTGAGCTCGGAGATCACTCTGGTGGGGGGAAACATCAAAGGGAGCTTTGTCAACTCTGTCAAACTTGATTCCCCAGCGGAGAAAGCAGGCCTTCGGGAGGGCTATCAGCTGCTTCTGGTGAGCGCTTCGCAGTACGGAATCAGCTTTGACACTGCAGTCGCTGACCCTCACCTGCCGCTGCTTGGTGTCTCTGTGTGTTTTCTATTTTTATTAGCACAGGAAATCGCCTCATTCCAAATCTGGCTCTTTGTCCGTCTGGCTCAGGGGCAGAGTGCATTCTGCACACACTGGAGGCCCAGGGTTCATTTCCGAACATCTCCAAGTAGGACAAGGACAGAATCTTGCCTGAAACCCTGGAGGGCATCTGCTGGTTGCTTTCAAATATACTGGGCCGGATGGGCCAGTGGACTCAGTGACCAGGTTCAGCCAATATCACAGCCCACCAGCAAGGGCAGGGTGTAGGCTGAGTGTGCGTTGCTGTCGCAACATGGGTTGTTGTGTAATCTGAACCCAGCCAAGATAACATGCCACGGTGAGGCAGCCACAGTTCACAACCCAACAACAAACCATGAGTTCTTTTCACGGGTTGTTCATGGTTAACAAGCCATGGTTGTGAGCATGGCTGAGTTCAGACAACATGAAAACCCACATTTCAACGACAGTGGATGGTTCAGTGGCAACCCTCACTCAACCCTTGTGTGTGAGTTATCATGTTGTCTGAACCCAGTCAGTCTAAAGGAACTTGGTATGTTTCTGTGTACATCCCTAGCTCAGTATCTTCTGCCTGGAGTGGCCATAGTTGTCCAGGGCTTGGACAAAGGCGGGTTGGCTGCTCTTTCTGAAAGGAAGGCCGTGTGATCAGACCTAGAACCTTCTTCATGCAGAAGAGGTGCCCTCGTTGGCCACGCCGACTCCTCTAGCGGCATAAGCTCTCAGAGGTCTCCATCTTGCACCCAAGATTGACATCTGCGTTGATCCTCTGGACCTTTCACTACAATCCTACTCCCCAGTAAGACCCTTGAAGTTCAGTGAGATGCCTCACAGAGTAAGACTGCACCCTTTGTCTGTTAATCTATCAATTCACGTTACCCACGATCAATGGCCTGAAGTTACCAACAAGCAAAAATACTAATTATGAAGAGAAGGAGATTGCTTCTTCCAGCCTGGATGATGTACGTACGCCTTGTGGGAGACGGCATCTCCCATCTGGCTGAGAGAGAAGGGCAAAACCCTCTTCTCAGAAGGCATTTGCTGCTTGCCGAGCGCTTGTGTTTTAAAAATGACTCTATGAACCTGTGGGGTGATTAACTGGAGGCACCCTTTTAGTCTATCAAAAGTACTTTCTGCAAATTGAACTGATTAATTGCAGCCTTACCTGCAAGTCATTATCACAGGGCTTACATCACCCGCTGCTCGCCAGCACTTGCTAAAATAGAAGGTGTGAAGGGAGAACCTATAGATTGCAGGGGTCTCTGGGGCTGGGCTCCCTTGGGGGTGCACCTGCCTTTTTGTGGGGTTCTCCTGCACAACCGCTGAGCCAGCAAGCAGCAGAGCCGGAGGCGTCCTTCGTGCTCCCGGCCAGAGTCCTTGCACCCCACGGCACCATTCACTTGTATTGCCAGGTCTCTAGCTGGTGGTCAGGAGTCATTAGAGCAGAGATGCTGAGCCTCAAGCCCGGCACCCCCATTTGACCTGGGCACCCTCCCCTTGCATGGCCCCCCCTTTCCTCAACCACTGCTACTTTTGCAGCTGTCCAGCTTTTGTGTGTCCTTTATTTTATTTTATTTTTATTTATATCCTGCCTTTTTCCTACAAAGGACTCAAGGCAGCATGCATCATTCTCCTCCTCCATCTTATCCCCGCAACAACAACCCTGTGAGGGAGGTTGGGCTGAGAGGCTGTGACTGGCCCAAGGTCCCCCAGTTGGCTCCATGGCCGAGCGGGGACCCGAACCCAGATCGCCTGAGTCCCAGTCCCAGGCTCTTCACCACCACACCCCACTGGCTTTCCTTTCCCCATCCAGGCAGGTTAAGTGGCCTCCCCGAAAACTTAACAACAGGAAGAAAGAGCTTTTAAGCTAAGATGTGCTGGCCTGTTGGCCCCGCCCCTTTAGCCGCCAGCCCCGCCCACCTGGAATGCAGCCCCCGGGGGCTTTTCTAACCAATGGGAAGAGGTTCTGCTTTGCTGGATCTCCGGCTGACCTATTTTGGGTCACCGCCCTACTAGCATGAAACGAAAGAAGAAGGGACTCACTCGTTCGCACTGCTGTTTTAAATCTGGTGCTAGGTTCCACTTGGGTTTTGTCCTTTTTATTTTCTATTGCAGCTTTAAACTTTTATATTGCATTTTATTGTGGTGTATTTTATGGTTTTAATTGCTGCAAACTGCCCAGAGAGCTTCTGCGATTGGGTAGTACAGAAATGTAATAAAGACAGAGCCCAAGACTGGACGATTGGAGGCACCGAGTGCAAGGAAGAAGAAAGACATAAACGGGATGGAAGTTGATTCTCTCCTTGGTGACCCCACCTCCTGGGAATCCTTCCTGCCTCCATCTGCTTAGCACCCGCCGTTTGCCTCTGTCTGTTCCTCAGTCCTGTGGGTGGGTTTGTCTTTTTCTTTAAAATACTTTGAAGCCAACTTTTGGCGTCTGACCCTCTCATTTGTCCTGTCGCCATTTACAAGAGACTTGTTCCAGAAGCAAGAGGAAAGCACGAGACAAGCCTCATTTCCCCAAGGCTTGGCTTTCCTCACATCTCGGTAGCTGCATTTATAGGGCAGACACGAATTCCCCGGCAGGGTTATCAATCCATCCACTGCTGCTCTTTTATAGTCAAGAGACCAGAGGCGGCGGCGAAGAGAGAGCCAGAGAAATTATTATCGGTGTTAACCGTTGCATCCTTCGCATTGCCAAATAACAGGGGTTGTTTGTTCCCCTGCGCTCTTCGCTGTATAATTTAATAGTCGGAATAATTGTCTTGGAGGTGAGTCTGGTGTTGCTTTCCTGTCTCTAGGTGGAAGGGTGCATCAGAGGGGAAAATACAAGTGTTTCCTTGGATACCTGTACAAAGGAAGAGGCTCACTGGATCATTCAAAGATGCAGTGGACCAGTGACACTGCACTGTAAATCGAACCTGGAAGGTAAGCAGTGACGACACGCCATCACAAATTGGTAGACAAGTGTATATATCGATACACAATATGTGGACCTGAGTCGAAAAAGAATACGGTGACCCACATGCCAGGACAGACTACCCTGCTTTCAGCCTTCTCATCTTGTTCCCTCCACCGGTGGCAACATCTGGATGGAGGCTTTTTACTTGTTTCATGACTGTGCTCCAGGATCAGGGTTTTATGGCAGACGATCTGGCGTTTGATCACCCAGAAAATGGGACCAATTAATTAAATAACAAAGGGCTTAAGGTCTAGAAACTCAAGTGGAAGCATTGCTTGGTGTGTGGTTTTTCGGATAAATGGCAATTACTAAAATTGGCACAGTTATTGAAAATATGGGCAAACTGGAAACCAATTTGGGTACCATGGACTCCAATTGTTTTCTTCAAAGCCCAGCTGAGGTTTTTGACTTCTGGATGGAAGGGGCTAAATTTATGAAATGTTATGATAGCGCTGGGAACATCCATAAGTGTATTAGACTGTGAATTATGAACTCTGCTTATGGATTGATAGAGAAAGCTCTGTTTCGACGTTATCGCTTTTTGATGTATGCATGTTATGCTCTTTCACGCCTGTCTCTGTGATTTTATGCAGTGCGTGTCTGCGTTTGTGTGCATAACTAGAGAAAGAATGCAAGTCCGGAATGATGGCATCAGTCCTTGAAATTGCCTGAGGAACTGGGCAGGGATTTTGATTCTCTTGTTTGGAACGGGGGCTTATGAGGCAACGTGTGGCGTGCCGAGCTCGGAAGGGCTCTGCCATAGGCAGGAGTCCAAGATAAGCCAGGAACCAGGAGCTGTGGGACAAGTCAGCTCAAGATGTTTTGTTGTCTTTAGTGGAGACTGAGGTGATGCTGTCTCCCGTTCCCTGTGCAGAAGCCACCGGGCTGTTTCTCAGGGTAGCTTAGCCACGATCGTGAGCAACTCTAGTTGGGGCCTTTTTTCTGTCTAGACTCGCACAGGTTTGCATCCTTAGGGGCCACGGATCACTCAGCACACATCTCTCTCCCCTCCAATATCTGGGGACCAGCTGCCCAGCATCTGTCACACTGCCTCCTGCTAGAAATCAAAACTGGAGCAAGCTGGAATTGGAGAGCAACCCAAGAGAAAGAGCCAAAGAGGAAGTCTGCCTGTAGGAACATGGCTTGTTGCTTGAGCAAAGCTTGACTGGGTGCAGAAGCGTGTCTTACATTCTTTCCCTCCCCAGAAGATCCCATGACTAATCGGGGTGCGGGGGGAGCCAGCCCAGGTCTGGAAGCTTCTTCCATGAGAAGAAAGTTTATGTGTTGATGGGAAGCACCGATTTTCCTGTCCGCATGGGGCCTACGCAAAAGGCTATCCCAATTTATGTAATCACAGCAGCCTGGTTTTCTGGTTTGTTTGAGCCACTGGGAGTTAAACAAGCTACCTAAATGAGTTACCTGTCAGCATTCCTCAAGCATCCACATTTAAACTCCATGGAATGAATATGCAGTTGCTCAGAATACAGGGATGAGGGGATTCAGAAAGTGGAATTTCTCCCTAGGAAACAATCTTCTCTTTTCCTCTCTCATGTTTTCAGACATAAAAATGAATGCTGATCTTGGCAAGAGCAAGATACAGATTGTGTAGGTGCCAATTAGAGTTGATTATGAAATGATCGAGCTGCACTTTATACTTAAACATGCACACAAAATCGAAATACCCTTTCAAGGATGGAGGAAGTAAAGGTTTGATCTGATTTTTTATGCTGTGTGCTTTCGTGAAGAGTCTCGGCATGAATGGCCACCCTACCTGCTCTTGATGAGAGTTCTCTTTTCTAGTTTTTGGAATGCTTGCTATTTAGAGATAGGTTCAGAGAAGGCTGGGTTCAGACGACACGATAGCTCAGACGCAAAGTCTGAGTGTGTGTTGACGTTTGGCGCATGGGCTGTTGTTGAAATCTGGGCTGTAGTCCAAGGCAGTGATGTGTGAGCAATCTGCTTTGAGGGGGGTTGCGGAGCCCGTCCTCTCTCTCGCCCTACATCTGCCTTGCACAAAGCGTGGCTGGCCAGTGGGAGGCAAGTCCAAGCGAGTCTGTGAAGCCGGCTTGTACGAAAGTTGCACCCTGCCTGTGCACCCCCCGTGCAAGCAGGCGTCTGCTTCCACACACACGACTTGTTGGCTTTGCTCAAAGAACTGTGTACATCGCATACTTTGCCCAAGGAAGGGGTCTGCTTGCATTCCTCGCATCCACAGGCTTGATCTCGGCTCAGCTCACTTTCTGGCCAGGACTGAACATGGGCAAGACGTCCAGCTGCACTAACAAACCATGGCTTGTCAACCATCTAGAGCCCATAAAATAGTCCATGGTTTCTTCTAGGGGTTGTTCACCATGGTTTGTTACCTTAGCTGGGTTCATACATGATAACCCATGTTTCACCAATAATCCACGGTAAAATGACAAGCCACACTGAACCCTTGAGTGCGGATCCTTATCCAAGCCCAGTCAATGTAATGGGAGGGCCCTTCATTCTCCCATTTCCCCGCCAAACCATCCTGGGTAGGTGAAAGAAACCATGGGTCAGTGTTGTAGTGTAACTCAAGCTCTCAGAAAATAACCTACTGCTACTAAATGCCAGCGCCGGAATAATGCCTACTAGCTGCTCACTAGACTAACAGAATCCACCAGTGTCTTGGAGAGGGGTTGAGATCAAGCACCTGCGACCGGAAAACACACCTGGAGGAGGCAAGGGCAGGGCTGACTTGTAGGCAGCTGCTGAATGGCAGCCAAGGGCTGAGAATGGTGGAGACACCCTGGGGACCAGGGAACATCGGACAGCCCGGCGGGGAGCACCATGAGTCAACCTGAGCATCAGAAGCAGGGCGCAAAACCAAGATGCAAGATGGGCTAGTGCAGGGCTGCCAGAAGCTCAGGCCTGGGGGGACAAGTCCAGCCATCCTGGGTTCCTCAGGGAGCCCTGGCCCCGCTTCCTGTGGTGTCTTGGACCCACCTGTTTCACCTTTGGCCCTGCCCAGCACCTGAGAACTCATCCAAACTGGAATTCAGTTCTCAGGCTGGAAGGGGTCCGGCAACCCTGAACTAGTGCCTGGAAGGACGTTCTTGCCTCATCTCTGTGACCGAGTCTCGCTTCAGCTCCTGTTGGCCCTCGGCTCAGCATCACTGCCAGTCAAGCAAGGTGACCCTTGACCGAATTGGACCTTTGGCCTGATGCAGCGCAGGGCAGCTTCCCGCGTCCACACTGCCACCGGCTTTTTCCTCTCCAGGTTATCGGAAGCTGCTGTCCGAGATGGAAGACGGGCTGATCACCTCAGGGGACTCCTTCTACATCCGCCTGAACCTGAGCATCTCCAGCCAGGTGGACTGCTGCTCCCTGTCGGTGAAATGCGACGAAATCTTGCACGTTCTCGACACCATGTACCAGGGGAAGTGTGAGTGGTTCTGTGCCCGGGTGGATCCGATCACCGACAAGGACCTGGAAACAGGGACCATCCCCAACTGCAGCAGGTGAGCGTGAAGCACTTGAAGGCCCTTGCTTGGCTCCACCGAAAAGCCTCGAGACTCGGCCGTCCTGGGGGCAGAGGAGGTGGGGGGCCTCCTCCCGTCTTCGGGCAGGGCCCACGAAAGGACCCAAGTCCAGGATTCACTCCCTGGCATGCCCAGATATTCAGGCTGGAAACATCCTCCGCCTGGTTTACAAATGGTTTCCTTGTTTCCAAAATTTATTAGTTTCCTCACAGCTACAAGCACTCAGGATGACATTCAATAAACACAGAGATAAAACTGTGTCGCTGTTAAAAATGGAAAGACAATAAACTATCAATCCAAAGTGAGGGACGCTTAAAAGGGCTGACCTGCTCCTGACCACAACTCCCATCAGCCCCTGCTAGGTCAATCCTGTCTGGCTTGGAAAGAAACAGCCTCCTGTGTCCCCAATCTGAAATGATGCCAACTTGGAACTGATGAAGATGGAAAGGGACATTTCTTAGCCCCGCTGCTAACTCACGGCCTTGGCTGCTCTCTCAGCATCAGTATCTTCCCTACCCCACCCCACCCTTTCCCTCTGCCCCAACATCATAATCTTGGCCTCCCTCGCAGAGCTCTGTCAGGGATTCCTCAGAGACGGCATTTTTGAAGAGCTTTGACCACTCAAAAAGCACTATAAATGCCACGAATTATTAACTTGAGAGCTGCTTTGCAAAATTCCCAAAATGCATGGAACTAGATGCAAAACCAAAATGTTAAACTTTTCCCTCAGATTTCAGGAGGGACTGGATGGGGTGATTTCAGGGTATGAACACCCCAAAGGTTCGGCAGGGCTTGCCAGTGGGTGGGGGGAAAGGCTAGCCTTCGCTTCCCTTGGCAGCAAAACCATTTCTGTCCGTACCCAATTCAACCTGCTTCTAGGTGGCTGGGGGAAATGACACCAGCCCTTTCTCCCATCAACCAGGATTCCCAGGTTTGTAAAATAAATGCCTGGGAAACCGTTGAACAGGGATAGACAGCTTCTCTTCTGAGCTTCCATGACCTGTCTTGGAGAAGAAGAGGAAGAAAAAAGCCTTAAAAAATTAAGCAATTATAATATGCAGTCAAGAGCCCCTCTCCAGTCATTCAGTCGTGTGTGATGCATTTGTTTCCTCCTTGAGTGTCACCGCAGTTAATGCCCTGCCTTGTGCGTGTACACACTTTCGAATCCTCCTTTGCAGAGCCCAGCAGCTTCTGCTAGTGAAGCTGCAGCGACTCATGAACAAAGGCAGCAGGGATGAAACAGACAGTTCCTACGGCACGCTCCGAACACCTCGGGTAAGTCGCTGTTTCCATAAGCCCACAAGTCCCTCAAGTTTGAGCTCCTCCTCCTCCTCCTCCTCCTCCTCCTCCTCCTCCTCGTTTTCTGTCTCTTTCATCTCTGTCTCCATCTCCATCCTTTTCATCTGGATAATCTGATGGTGGCCATTTTCATGCAGTTCAAAACCGGCCTGCATCTCTCACTGGTGCCTTCATCCTGGCTTGGCATTGCCAGTTTTTGCCCAGGTCCACAGCACATCATGGACCGTGCTGCTGACCCTGAAGAACTCTGGGTTTTTCCCTCTTTGCAATCACTGCTTGTTCAGTTGCCTGGGTAAGGATCAGAGCAGTGAGAAGAACAAAGGGAAGGTGCACACCTTGATCACTTCTCCGGGGAGCTGGTCTGACCAAGCCAAGAGAGGGGGAAGAGCGCAAGCTAATAGGCCAGAGGATGGGTGGTGCTGTGTACTGAAGCGATCAAGGGGTTAGGCGCACAGCTACACCCCCCCCAGTAAAAAAAACCACACACTTGCATGGGTTAATTTACAGATGCTCTCGGTGTCAAGGCCATGCGAAGCAAACGCCAGCTAATCCAGGGGGATTTTTATTTTTTTTATTTATTAAAACATTTTTATGCCGCCCCATTCGCCGAAGCCTCGGGGCGGCTTACAACAATAAATTAAAACATCCTAAATAACATTTTAAAATATATACATTAAAATAAAATACAAATATACAATATAAAATAAGCCACCCTGGCCCGATAAAATTCAATAATATTAACATTTAAAATGCTGCTTAAATAAAAAGGTCTTCGCCTGGCGCCGAAAAACAAATAACAATGGCGCCAGGCGGACCTCTCTGGGGAGCGCATTGCATAACTTAGGCGCCACCGCTGAGAAAGCCCTCCTCCGAGTAACCACCCTCCTAACTTCTTTCACAGAGGGCTCCCGGAGAAAGGCCTCTCCCGCCGATCTCAGGGGGCGGTTGGGCATATATGGATGTAAGCGCTCCTTCAGGTAGCCAGGACCCAGTGCAGCAGAGATCACCGGGCACCCGGATGGCAGCTGCTCACCAGACAGCTCTGCATGGAGGATCTGGGGCTGCGGCCCAGTGGGCTGCCACCGACAGCCACCTCTGTGCCCGAGGGACCTCCAAAACCAGGAGCCAGCACTGCTTTCAGTGAACGGCTCTTGCACCTTGCCTTGGTTGATCATTTCATGGAATGTGTCTGGAATCCAGTGGATTCTCATAGCCGTGCCCGTCCAAAGCTTAAGAGCACTACTCTCCTAAATCATCCCGCTGTCAGGAAAGGCACAGGTTGCTGCTACAAGAACAGGCAGTGAAGAAGAGGCAGGAAGGAGGGACGACCTGATTGACAGTGTTGAGAACCAGCATCCGAAAAATTGATGACTTAGAACCATCCCAGCAAAAAGTGGGAATTAGCTAAGAAATGGGCAGACAATGAAGAGCTTGGGAGAGCGTGTCCCTGTGGAGAAGTTGGGCTACAACTCCCATCATCCCAGGCATTGGCCACGATGGCTGGGGCTGATGGGAGCTGGAGGGTAACCGATTCTCCACTGCTGGCTTAGAGGGTTGTGTAAAGGTATTTGCGGAGCACCAGATGTAGTTGAATCACTCATCCGGTCAGGTTTTGTGATATTAGGGAAAATATAATAGGACTAAGATATATTATGAATACCGGAATATTATTAACATTTTGGGAACAAAACTTATTATCAAAACACTCCCACAGAGGCAGCCACATTTTGAAGACACTGACAATCTGAAAATACGATGTTTACGTTTTTACGATGTAATTGTGGAAGGGTTATTGATTCACATGTTAGTGGAGGTACTGAACCCTTCCCAGGCACACACTTAAAAAAACAAAACAAAACAAAACACTACATTGTTTTCCTTCTCAGTAGCCCAATCTTTGAAGCTTAGAACCTTCTTTGGGTTCTGAGAATGGCCCTTGATGCTTGTGCGCCCCGGACTGGAAGGCCCATGAGCCTGCAGTGAGGAGTGGGACAGGGTCAGGAATGACGACCTCCATGTCCCCATATCTTGTGCTGTCGAGGACAGATTGTCTTGGAAGGCTCCTTTTGACTGGGTCACCATGAACTGGATACGATTCAATGCCCCATAACAGCAGCAGAAAAGCCCACCTCACCATGTTCCTGGGTCATATGCAAGTTAGAGCTGCTTTCAAGGGATCTGAATGTATGTCTTTTTGTTCTCAAATGTTTCCCCCTTTGCTGTTCCTACCAGAACACTCTGCAGCCAGAGGATCACACGCCTCCAAATGACTCTAAAACTAGTCCTCGCCTGTCCCGAGCCAGCTTCCTTTTGGGCCAGATCTTGCAGGTAAAAGGAGGAAAAAAACAGAATCTCTCTCTCAGCAAATAGGTTTTTGCTGACTTTTCCACATTCTGTCCATGTACATGCTTCCATAGGGTTCAGAAGAGCTGCAGAAGGTAATTTGGAGGAAACAACAGGGCTTGGGTTAGAAAAGACCAGGAATTCTGTTTCTGCCCGGAAATGAGATTTGCCTTCCTGAGCCTAAGCGAGAGAATGTGCTGTCCAAACGTCATCACAAATTCTCAAGGGTGCACTTGCAGTTGAAAATTACGCACCCCCTCCCACCAAAAAGGCAATTCACCAATTGCACAGCTTAAAAAACGTGCAATTTCATGCTTTACTCAATGAAGTTAATCTGCCCAACCTTGGAAATATTTGTAAATGTGGACTTTTTAGGTGCAACATTCCCATGGGATCAGACTTGTTTTGTGCAGCTTTCCCATTCACGAAACAATAATCCAAGGCAAGCATGATCTCAGGGTCAAGAGAACCGGGGTGTAGCCCTGCTGAGACGCCGTCACTGTGAGATGGGAGCCCATCCGTCCTGATGGGGTTTCCCTCTCCTCAGTTTGTCAGCAGGTCTGAAAACAAATACAAGCGCATGAACAGCCACGAACGGGTGCGCATCGTCACTTCGAAAGACGGCCGTCCCAAATCGGAGGGACAACCGGTCACGAAGGCGCTGTTGGACAGATTTGAAGGTACAGAAATGGCCAGAGGACAAGCATTTGGGCAACCTGGAGAAGGTTGCAGGAAAAACCGCCATTGGGATGGGGCGGGTCCTGAATACTCGCCACCCAGTCCAGCAGCCTGTCCTTGCTCTCTGTCTGTTAGGACAGGGGGTGCTGAAGCTCTTTCGGGCCACCCCGGCCCAATTCTCACTTGGACCCTTGATTTCTAACCTGGCGGATCCCTCTGGGGCCTGCTCCCCACCTCCAGCCCACACAAGAGGCCTTTTCGCATGGTGGCAGGTGCCTCTCCAACCACAGGTGTCCACCTCTTCTTCCCCAGAGTTCGACTCAGTGAGTGAGATCAACAGAAGCTTCAGCCTGATCCCTTACAGCTCCGTGAGACCCACCCACTGCGACCGCCGGCGCCCGGTCCTCTTCAGCCCCACGCTCCTTTCCAAGACCTTCATCCAGAAGCTACTCAACTCTGGGGGGGCCCTCGAGTTCAACTTATGCAAGCCAGGTAATCTTGCCAAGCTGGCCAACTGCAGTACCTGTGAAAACCCCCTCTCCCAGCCAAAGGCCACCCAATGTCCGTGGGGACTTGTGGGTCGAGTTCTTTCTCCAGAAGAGGCTCAGCACCACAGATAGTGCTGTTGAGAGCTGGAGTCTTTCCATCGCCCCACCACGGCTGGGGCCCCAGCTTTTGCCAGAGGCAGGCAGGGTGGGAGCTGACATAGACGGAAGCCCAGAATCTGATGTTGGCCCCCGTGGATTGTGTGTGTCGAAAAAGCTCTGGGTGTAAGAACTGTGTTGGTTTAATCTGATAGGTAAGCAGAAAGACAAGAATTTCCCTGAACTGCCACATCAAAATCTTTCAAGCATCATAAGAAAAAGCAAATACATATACATGGAACACCGTCATATTACCTTGAACTTCTTAGAAAATGTCAAGCAAATATAGCAGTCTAAAAAATGACATACTTCTTTATTTAGAGTGCTTTTTAGGCTGCCCTTGAGAGCAGTACCTCTGAAGGTGCTGCGCGAGATAAAATTATATCAATACTCCGAAAATGAATAGAAAAATAGTAAATAAGTATTCACTACAATACTATAAAAACAGATAAGGACATTGGGGCCTGCAATCCACAGATTACAAAAGGATCAGTGAAAACAAGTCAGTCTTCCGTGCCCCTCAAAAGCTTGCAAAGATTGAATCCCCAACAGCGTCACCGCCCAGGTCAGCACTGAAGATTGTACTCCAAATTTGTACTCCAAATTTGCACTCCATGACCTGGTTCACGTATTATGAAAACCAAAAGTGTGGATGGAGTATCAGTTAAACATGGATTGCCATTAAATCATGGTTCGTTTCTGATTCATGGACCCTGCACTGTGGTTTCATTGTGGGTTGGTAACCATGCACAACCCAAGAGTCCATGGCCTAAGAACAAGCTATGGCCTCTCTTTCTGGGTTATCCATGATAACAACCCATAATTAAACCATAACACAAGGTTCTTGCATAATGGAAACCCCTGATCCATTGACAAGCCAAGATTCATCCACAGTTCATGATTCAGTGAGAACGCCCACTGCTGAATTGCCATGAAGTGCAATCCAGACTTCTATTTCTTTTAGGAGATGCTAAAAAAAGAAACCCTTGATGGGCATCAGGCAACCTCTGGTTTGGCACTCTCAAGGTCATGCATCTTGAAGTTAATTTTCAAGTTTCCTGCCCTCATCAACTGCTTAAAGTGTGGAAGGCATATTTTCAAGTCCTGTCATTGAGTTGGTTGGTTGGTTGGTTTTGGCCTTTCCCTTTTATCCTCCTCTCAGTCTGCAAGTCTAGGTCACACTTACCTTGGGCTACCTTCTTTCCTTCCTTCCTTACTTCTGAGTAAACACACCTAGGCTTGCACAGCAATCGTGGGTAAATGATTCACTGGCACCCCTGGCAAATGGATGCGGGGGAGATCTGTCAAGGGTTACTTCTCCCTGCGGAGAAGCAGGACTAGATACTGGGAGCAAACCGTGGGAGCTGCCCGTTATTTCCACAGACCTTTCCTGGAAGTATCTGGCTGGCAGCTACTAGGGGACAGAATCCTAGGCTGGAAGCACATTTGGTCTGATTCAGCCGCAAAGCCTTCCCTACAATATTCCGCTCTCCTACACATATCCAATTCTCTAGCTGCTGCGGAACATACACACTCGGGTGTCAGAACGCCGTCTTTCAAAAGAGCCTGACATCGCAACACAGGCTCGCAATTACACAGACGTCAGTTCATTCTCCGGCCCTGGCACTTCATATGTTGTTTCTTGAAACAGGTCATGCTCAAGTTCACCAGATTTAACTAGTTTGAGGATAAACACACTGCCAGTGATGTTCCCTGCCAGCGAAAGCCTCGGGATTGTAAATCTGCAGATAATGACTGCAACACTCATTTCTTCTACGCCTTTTATGGGCTGCATCCCCTGTCCTCTTGCTCAGCCCCGCCTTCTGGGGAACTTTGGGATTCCTGAAGCAGTGACTTTGAATCAGACTGGATTGGAGTCCAGTCTCGGATGCAGGCGTGAAACCGGGCGGCTGCTCCAAAGTGCCATCGGTGCAACCCCTGAAGTTTTGGTTGTGCGTGTCCAAACCTTGGATTCAGATCTCTTGTGGCCTGTGTCCACCCTGGCCCACACACACACACAAACACACACACACAGGGACTGGAAGCAAGGCCCTACAAGGAGAGGACATATTTCGGCTTGAGAAGAAAAGACAGGAGATAGTTCTTGAAAGGCTGTCACACGGGAGGGCTGGAATCTCTCCTTGATAATCCCAGAGTGAGAGACACAGAAAAATGGGCTCAAGTTACAGGAAGCTGGATTCCAGCTAGATCTCAGGAAGAACTTCCTGACTGTTAGAGCAGTACAAGGAGTCAATAACCTCCCCACAAAAACCTTTATTTATTGTAAGCAGCCCCAAGATGTCCTGTAGGGGGCAGGATAGAAAAGCTTTGAACAAATAAATAAAATAAATACACCTATGGAGGTTGTGGGCTCTTCCACACGGAAGGAATTCATTCTGCAGCTGGACAACCATCACGGAGAGATGCTTCAGCTTAGAGTCCTGCAGTGAGTGAGGGGCTGGATCTGATGGCCGCATTGCCCCCTTCCAAAAGTACCTACTCTAAGCTTTGATGATAGTTCTACCTTCCTTTCCAGATATCATAACAAAGGAAGAATTCTTGAGGAGAAACATGACAGAAGCAATTATATATTCCCGAGAAAGGAATCCACACACCTATGAATGTATTTTTCCTGCAAATATTGAAGCTGTCGCTGCCAAGGTAATTGGGTTTTTGCCTAGATCATTGGGCAGGGCAGAGATGCTGCTGTTTGGAAATCTCTGAAGTGGCTGCTTGCAAGCCTGGCTCCCTCAAACAGTCAGAAAAGCGGGGGACAGCACTGCTGGACCCTGTTTCTTCTGCATAAGGGAAAGATAGCCAGAAACTTGAGGCGTCTTGGTGCAACATGCTTTATTTACAAAAATGCCAGCAGAACATTCAAGGGAGATGGGCACCCCTACAAGGCAGAAGCAAGGAAGGTGCAGGGTGTTTCTTTCAACCCATGTTTGCTTAGCAGGCTATATTCAATTTACATATCTACGCATACAGCAATTCTGCCAGCGCACCCTGTCTTTTCATCAGCTCTGTCTATTTTTATTTCTGCCGCTGCTCGGTGATCCGAGCTCTGCACAGAGCTTTCCCTGTGCTGCTTTTCTGCAAGGTAATCTCTAGGAGGAGCTGTGCACTAGCAGAAAAGCAGAACTGGCAGAGGGGATGGAATGGCATTGTCCCAAACGGGACTGAGTAGCTCCTTCTCCCTGTTCCGAAGTGCGCTGACAAAGCAGAGGCGAAACTGGAGGACCACAACGTCATCGCAAGTGCCTGCAAACAGCCATGAATCAGGAATCACAAGCGCCCAGTCAGGGCCCCGTGTGGAAAAGACCAAAGAAACGGTGCCCAGCGATAATCCTAAAGCAGAGCCCATTCTTAGCCCATAAATAATGTAGCAGCCCCTCTATTTCCTTTCTTGATTCCTTTGAACTTTCTTCTACTACACAAAATGTTCCTCCGCATCTGTCTGTCTGCCTCCCTCCTTCTCTTCCTCTCTCTTCCTCTCTCTTCCAGACACGCACCTAACGGTTTTTCATCTAGCCAGGCATCCTCTCCCATGCATTCACTCTTAATCTCGTTCGCACTTGCTCTTGCTCGCTCGTCATACTGTTTATGTTATTTAATATGCACACGGATGCATGCTCTGGGTCCAGCTTGATGGCCTCCAGGCATAATCGTGGGGGGGCAGCATTGGATTATACACCGAGCCCCCACCCCCCTCACAGCCAGCATGGAAGGAACAGCACCAGCTTCCCCCTCCCAGGTTGCCACTGGCCTCAGAGGGGCGAAAGGGGGATTCTGGGAGTGCAGAGGGCGAGAGGCGAGAGGCGGAGATTTATACAGGTTGCAACTGCTTCCTTCCCGGCCTGCCTCTTCCCCCTCCCCCCCAGTGCTTTATCTCGGCCTCCCCAACCTTGTGCCTTCCAGACGTGTTCCAGACAGTCCATGGCCCTGCTGGATGGGAATTCTGGGAGTTGTGGTCCAAATGCCTCTGAAGGCCGCCAGGCTGGGGAAGGCTGCTTTACCTGGTTGCTGAAAATGGGCACCTGAATAATTCTCCCTTCTCCCCAAAACAGTCATTCGGTGTTCCGTGCTCCCCTGCACATAGACAATGCGGTTTTGTCCATACAACAATCTGCGCGTTGAGAAGGAGTGTGCGAGGCGGTGCTGCCGCACCCGCTTTTCCTCTCCTACTTTCCATCCTCTTCCTAGTTAAGTACTGAAATTGTCTCGTCTTGTAAATTAGCCTTGCCTCTTCACATTCTGTTTTTCTCACAATCAGCTCCATCTGATGCCTTCTGTTCGGTTGTGCTTTATTGCACAATCCACCTTGACACAGCCAAGCGTCGCTTAGTTTGTAAATTTGCTTTCATATTTCACTTTTATCTTTTTACATTTCTTTGCTTCAATTTTCATGCACCTATAGGGAAGAGGGGAGGGAGTTGGTGTGGAATATGTGGGTGGGTGTGGAGAGAGAGAGCGAGCGAGAGAGAGAGAGAGAGAGAGAGAGAGAGAGAGAGAGAGGTTTCTCTGTGCAGAAAGCAACCATGATGTGGAGAACAAAGATTATAATGTCAGGTCCAAACAGATGGCATCAAATGCAGCAAAACTTGTTAAGCAGCAGGGAAAAGACAAGTGTAAGAGACGGTTTTATTTTCCTTTGAGAAGTAATTACAGAACATGCTTCATTTGAACAAACGAAGTTCAATTACGTTCGTTGGTTTTTGTACATGCTACCTTCATTTTGGCATAATCCCCATCTTTTGATCAGTTAATTCTCCTTTGGAAAACGGAGCCTTTATAGTGCATTGACAAATGAATGTGACGGCGAAGGGAGGCGTGGAGGTGTTTTTTGTCTGTGCATCAGGTGGTTCGGTTCCAGACCCGGGAAGCGCACAGCTGCAGTACCAGGCACGGCAATTTAGGCAGGGCCGGGTGTTGCTGGAAATGACAGGTGTTACTGCCGCTTCAACAACATCGCAGGAGCCCTGCTGGACTGAGCCATCTGGGCTCGCCCAGTGACCACGCAGCTTCCCACGGAAGCCTGCACACCAGGCGCAAGCACAACCGCTGCCTCCCCAAGCGCCCCCACCATCGGTGGGCGCCTGTGTTCGTTAGTGTAGCACATCTTTCCACACCACAATAGACAAAACTCTTTGCCTGTTATCCTGGAGGCAGCCTGGAGCCATCAGGACTGGGCTTGGGCTTGGGTTGGGCTTGGGCTTAGGGTTCTCTGCCATGAATATGCCCAGTTCCCTTTTAAATCCCTCCAAATGGGTGTCATCCATTCATTTTATGCTACCAAATCCCAGTCTAATTCTGTGCGGTGTGAAGAAGTCCTTCCTTTGATCTGTCCTGAATGTCTCACCCATCTGCTTCATGCGATGGCTCTACGGAAAGATAGAAAGAAGCCCAAGTTGGAGTGGAAGGAATCCATCTTTTGCCAGTTTGCCCCCCCACACACACACACCCAGCGTTATCATGCAAGGCTCATTCTGAATCAGTTCTGCACCTGCCCTGGAATGCCTTCCTGGGTAGCTTTTATCTCTGCAGTGGGTAGCAGAGCTCGTGCCTGGCCCTGGTTCCTTCACCTCGCAAGATCCAACAGTCTTGCACGAACAAGATCTCCAAAGGATCCGTGCGTCAGCCATGGGACATCCCTTCCCCTTCCAATGTAGAGTAATGCAAACACAGCCCCTTGCCGGCCAGCCTGGCCATGGCACCGTGTGAGCCTCTGGCCCCAGGCAGCACAGGGTGTGGGAGGAAGATGCGGTGCATTCGGCCACCTCTGCAAAGTTAGCTTGCTGACTTGAGGTGGGAGGGCAGATGCTTCCCCACTGGCAGCACAGAAGAACAATTTAGCAGCCAGCTCAGGTGGGTTTTATACATGGAGTCAGACAGGACACCATCTTCTTCTTTGCTTCCAGCAGCAAAATGCCTCCAGGAAATGTGCAAATCAATTCCCCAACAGGGAAGGCGGTGGGTGACGGGAATGGAGAAGAGACAAGAAGCAAGAAGAGGGCACAACGGAAAGAGGGGGGCAGGAGAGGGACATAAATGCCCACCACAATAGTTTGGGGTGTGTTTGGACTGAAAAAAGACCATTTTCCCCAGCCTCCCTTCAGCCTGAAGAGGTGTTGGCTGACATCCCTCCACCATCAGCGATCGGAGAGACGCTGCAAGTTCAGGACTTTTTCCCTCTAAACATGCCACAGGGTTGCCCTCCTTTTCTTTTATAACTTTTCTAACTTCTTTTATATCGTTTATATTTTTTATTTATTTTACATTATTAATTTTAATTTTATATTGTTATTTTTGTATCGTATTGTATTTTATTGTGTTGTAAGCCGCCCCGAGGCTTCGGCAAGGGGCGGCATAGAAATGTTCTAATAATAATAATAATAATAATAATAATAATAATAATAATAATAATAGATGCTTTTAGGCGAGCATGAAGTAGCAGCTGGAGTGTCAGACTGGAGGGGTAGAACGTTAGGCCTTGGTGGAAATGTGGCCCCATTTGGCTGTTTAGGGTTCCTATTCCTTGCTCCAGCCACCAATAATTTCACAGTTTCCTGGCCGATGTCTTAATTTTTTCCATAACCTAAGAAAGGGAGATGCGTCTGCTAAATCTTCACTACTTGCAGGAAGAATTTTAATCTAAAATAGCCTGGCGTTGGGGTTATTCTGGTCTCATCCTCTAATTAGGTATAAAACCCCAATTATTTCGTGGTGGGATGAAGTCGAATGGCTTGGGGTAAAGGCACTGCAGGAGAACTGGGGGTCGCAGGGGGTTCAGAGCGATTTGGCTGCCGGTGGCAGTACCAGGCCTACAAAGCAGCCAGGGAAGCTGACGAGGGAGGAGGAGAGCTGCAGGGGTGAAGAGCACAGGCACAGATCCCTTGGGAAACTGAGGCAGGGGCCCTCTTGGGGTCTCTCAAGAGAAGGGCAGTCAGCATGCCTTTGATGTAACGTATTTTTTACCAGGCCTGGGCTCGGGGGGAGGCGATTTGCCCGATTCCATCTGAGATAGTGACATTCTGAGCTGTACTCATCCAGTCTTTTCCTGGCTTCATGTTTACAGAACAAACACTGTCTGCTTGAGGTTGGCATCGGCTGCACGAAGGATTTAATCAAAGCCAAGATCTATCCCATTGTTCTCTTTATTAGAGTCTCCGAGAAAAACATCAAGAAGTTCAGGTATGCAGAATCTCCCGGTAATTCTGGTGTGCTCAGTGGACATCACTGAAGAGATATTGACAAGGCCAAACCACGCCATTTCTTTCCTCTTGGGCAATATTTTCATGTCTGGACTAATACTGTTATATGCTCTTTCCTCCGCTTGGGAAATCCAACATGATGGTGGATTAGGAGTGCACAAAACCAGACACCCAGTAGCCATTGGCGATCCCAACTAGTCTTAACATGTAAACATAACAGGAAATCAATGAAAAGCAATTACTCCTTGGGATGCCGCCTGGCAGATCAAAAGCGGCTCTAACGAATCAAAGCTAGTTAAGCAATGCAGGCAGGTCCCTGCTCCCAAGTAGCTTACATGGTAAAATAGGCAGTGGAGAAGCAACAAAGGTCATGGCTTTGTGTTTGTACTGTAGGTGTTCATTTTGCTTTTTTAATCTAGCTGGAGATCTATAGTTCTGGGGGGGGGGGGGGGGTTAAAAATGTAATAAATGAGTGCATGGATAATGAGAACTGCAGTAAAGGAGGAAAGCAGGGAAGTGTGTTTCCAGAGGCTTAATTTTGATTAAAGTTGGGTGTGTGGCTCAGCCCAAGACCAGAGCCAGTGTGGTGTGGTGGTGTTGCGCTGAGCCCCTGAAAGGTCTGGATTGGTGTCTCCACTCAGCCATCAAGCTCACTAGGAGACCCTGGGCCAGTCACAGGCTCTCAGCCCAGCCTACCTCGCAGGGTTGTTGTTGTTGTGGGGTTAAGACTGAGAACAGCCGATGGAGACTGATGCATGCCATTCTGAGTTATTTGTAAGGAGAAATAAGATGGGATATAAATTGAAGACATTTTATAATAAACAAAACGGAGAGGAGGAAAAGCAGTGTGCAAGCCAACTGGGGATCTTTGCGGGGAAAAATAGGATGTAAATATAATCCATCCATTGAAAGCCCTACAAATGTGGTTCTGTCACAACTGCTGCACATCTCCAAGTGTGTCACACTTCTCCATCAGAAAGCCAAGGTCACTCATTCATTCATTCATTCATTCGTTGGTTTTGTATGCCGTCCCAATTACTTTCATAGTCTCTGGGCGGCTTACAAAGAGCAAACGGAAAAACAGAACCCATAACAACGACCCACAAAACAATAGCACTGCATCTGAAATAGGAATAAAAACAAAAATAAAAAGAGATTAATTATTAAAATACTGGGGAAAATATAAAGGAAAAGAGTGATGGCGCCAAGCGAACCTCCCTGGGGAAAGAATTCCATACAACTTTTTGTTGGGTAGTAGCATAAATAAACATTATTTCTGGCACTTCCTCCTGATTCCCAGTGGCCCTTTTTGCTCAGGGGTGCAGAAAGTACGTTGTGGGAATTGGTTTGAAGGGAAGGAAAAACGCTGAGCCGTGTCTGCTTTCTTGGCCTCCTTGCATCAAACAGGAAGCTGCTACCGAAGCCGGAGATAGAAGACGAGTTATTACGGATGTGCCGTCAGAACGAGAAGGAACTGGAGGGCTTGCCTTGCCTTTATGCCTCCTTGGAAGCAGACACCTGGAGCAGCATTGAGGACCTCCCCCGGATAATCAAGGAAAAGGTTTGGGAGGAACAGCAGAAAACCATCTGGATCGATGAGGACCAGTTGTGAAGCACAGAGCCAGCCTGGGCCCTGGATCCTGCTTGGTACCCACAGTGCCAACGGCTTTGAGAAACCCCTGATGTGGTCCCGATCCATCTTTACCAGCTGCTGGGGACTTTCAGCAACCGGCAGGATGCTGAGCGTGAGAGAGGAATAAAAGCACCCCCAAACAGGGGCCGTTCAGCGGTGGGGACCCCGGATGCGAGTTGGGATTCTGGCCGGGATTCTGCCACCGGAGATCTTCCCTGCTGGAGGGATGTTTGGCCATCAAAGAGACGTTTGACACAGCCTAATATTTCAGTTCTCAGAGTGCAAGAAGCTTCGGTGTCGCTAGGGAAGACACCAAGCCCACCAAGCCCATGTCTTTGGAGAGGCAGATGCAGCCCGATGATTGTGGCGGGGTGGCATGCTTCGAACTCAAAGCATGCATTTCACAGGAGAGATTTAGCCTGCAGCAAAATGACTCCTGGGCCACATCTTCACTACAAAATATATTCCCGTTTTCTGCCAGTGTGTTAGGGCTTTTGCCAACGAATCCTAAGAATAAATGATCTTGGTTAGGGCAAAGAATGATCCCTAGCAGCCTTCCTTTTCCCCCATATGGCATTACCGTTCCCAATGTTCCTACAGGATTGGGAATAACTGCTGCATACAATTGCAACAAGAGCTTTGCAGTTTCCCATTTTCACACCGAAGACAGAAATTGCACCAAGACCGAACTATTTCCCAGAAACAGCAAATACGTGCTGTCCCCTCCCACCACCCCCCACCCCACACTGCCTGCCACCAGCTCCTTGTAGTGCCGTAGTTTCCCTACTCTGGCACCATTAGTTCCCCCAGTGACTGCTGCTCACTCCACTTTGTCCCATGGGCAATCCCGCCCAATCAGGGATCACACCACTCCAGATGACATCACAACTGAGCCTAGCCAATCAGTTATGGCAATGTGATTACAGTGCTGATTGCGGCCATGAGCCCGGGAAAAGCAGAAGGTATGTTTCCAAGAGGCGCTGAGCACTTCTCAAGACAGGAGTTGTTTTTCGGCACTGCTGAAAGTGTTAACAAAGCAACAGCAAAACTCCACCTGCTATTTTGCCAGAGATCTTCTGTTAGTTCATAAGCCAGGCATGCCCTGATCCATGGAAACTCTGACCACCTGTCGTCTTACGGGAGGAAAATTTGCCTGGCACTGCAGCAGTGTGGTCCCTCATCCCTCTGGGGCTCAGTGGGCATACACAGGGCTAAAATAAATCGAGGTTGCGCAGCTGTGCCTGGCAGATTGCATCCCATGTCTGCAGTAGACGAGCACTATTTCCATCCAGCCCTTTGAAGAATACAGATTGCCAAAGGCTTTGTTGCTGGCAGCTAAAACAATTCCCCCACTTTAAAATCTTAAATTAAGTGGCGAGTTTTCCACATACCCATAGCAAGCTGCCTTGTCACTTGACATATTTTCTTCTATAAAAACATTTATGACCCCATAAAAATAACAGCCTCTCTCTCTCTCTCTCTCTCTCTCTCTCTCTCTCTCTCTCTCTCTCTCGTGTGTGTGTGTGTGTGTGTGTGTGTGTGTGTGTGCTGGAAATGTTATGGGTTTTAGCCTTTCAACTGAATGCAAGAGTCTCTGGATGGTGAGAACTAAATGCAAGAAGTTCTCTCAAATTAGGGCTTTTTATAGATGAAGTTGGAGCCAGTGCTTGAAGAGGGGTGGGGTGTGTGACTCCACAGTTTCAAGTTAAGGTGGGATTCCACACCGGCAATAATAAAAAGCCAGCCTATTAGACAGCTTTTCTCTTCCAGATGGCTTTGCCCAGCTTATCCAATGATTTTGTATTATATACACCCAGCATCCTGCCGTTCCGTCCACTGGGGATTGTGTTTCCTTGTGTTTCCTTGTACGGATTCCCTACAAACTTTCTTTCGCGGCTTTTGCTTTCCTTCCTGTGCCAGCGCGCTGGCGAAAGGCTCCCTGTCAATGATTCTCTCCCGCAGCAGACAATACAAGGTTGGAGACGGAGCAAGGAACAAAGGCAGCCGCCTCTTCGCCGGCACAGCCTGGAGTGGAGATTAGCTCCACTGATTGCAAATGCGTCGACAGCCCACTTGGATATTTCTCCTTGTGGGTTCTGCTGATTTCTTTTCAGCCGCACAGGGCACTTGATCAGACTACGACTTATAAATATTGGGTGGGCGAATCACAGGGCTGTGGGAATACCGAACGTTGGTCTCATGAGGACTCGTGGCCTGAGCCAAGTTAATGCCCAAGCTCCTAAGGAGCAGGGGTCATTCTGTGCTGGTGGACTTGAGGGGGAAGCAAAGAAGGTTTGGGGTAGGAGAACTGAAGCATGACATGGGCTAGGAGGAGTCCTAAGATGATCCTGTAGAGCAGGGGTGTTGAACCTCTTTAGCCCAAGGGCCGAACTCTGTTTCAAAGATGCTCTCGGGGGCCGTGCATGCAGCCGTCAGGACAAGTGGCTGCGAAAAGCCTGACTCTGCAAGAACCCCGTTAGACTTGAGACTTTAGAGTTTAGAACTGCCTTAGACTTAAGTCTTGCTTCCCACGTATGCCTTGGAAATAGCAGGCCTGTCCCGCTCAGGTTCACTCTTCGATATGTGAGCTGTTTACCTGCCCTGAAGGTTGTTCTTCTCTTTGTCTTGTCTCAGTCCTGATTGTTTTACCCCAATGTGCCTCTAGTGTCCCTTGTATGTGCCCCCCCAGCTGATCCCCCCTCCCCAAACTGTGAAAGTAACTGCCAGCATGCCGCATGGCGGGCGTGTCGTGAGCAGAGCCGGCTGGAGCCGGGGGTCAGACTAGATGGCCCGGGAGGTCCCCGTCTGACTCGCTCTGTTTCTATGGAGTCCCTCCCTGTCTGAATACATTGGCCATGATCTCTTGACTGTCCACCTGCAGCAAACTCTCAGGGGGTGCTTTTTTCCACTCGTGCCGCAGTGATGGGCAGCGATTGGTGGCAAACCAGGGCGGACCCAAAGAACATGGGCAGGACCTGACTGCCAGCCATATTTTCACCAGTCATAGCGAGAAAGACTTACAAGAGGCATTTCGACCTGGCGATCTGCAGATCCACCTGCACGATCCTTCATGGCATCTTGTGTCGACCAGACTTCTCCCCCGCCCTCTGCCCTGGCCTGGGAAGCGAGCTGGGCCGAAATCAAACCTGCAAATGGGAGCAAATTCTCCCACAAAGCGCATGATCCCCGTGTGCCAAGCACCATGCATGCAACCCAGGGCCAGGTGTGGTGCCCTTCCCCTTTCCCGCAGAATTCGGGTACAAAGCCTGTAGAACAAGAAGATGCCCTACCTCACCTGGAGCAGACTCTGCTTGCAGAGCTGGCAAGCTGGTATGTGCTCAGACCGGTCTTGCCATAACGCACCACCGTTGCAGCTGCGTCCTGCCAGATGCCCTGTGAACTCTTGAGTTGGACTTAGGGCAGAGAGGAACTGAGCTGGACTCCTGTGAGCCAAGCTGGGGAAAACCCAGCGAGCTGGATTCCTTTCCATTACTATTTGGGCCTTTCAGAATTCGCTGGGGAGAGGCTACAGAAATGCTGGGAAACGCCAACCAGGTGGCAGGAAAGCCACGTGGCCACGGGGAGGGAGCGTGGCTGTCTGCATTTGGTTGGTGCACCTGCTGTTCTGCACTGCTGTCGTACAGTGTGGCTCTCGGGCCAGGCTTTGGTCCCAAAGCAATTTTCTCTGTCCCTGATGCTCCTGCCAAATTAATTGCGATGCTCTAAAAACTGCTCACATTGAAAAGCTTACATGAAATGAAAAGAAGCAGAGAGATGTGTTTGACCCACAGAATCTCTAGGTATTGCTTGCACAATTGCTAGCTTAGTGGGATTCTGTGTGTGTGTGTGTGTGTGTGTGTGTGTGTGTGTTTCATGTGCCTTTTGGAAAAATGAAAGGCTGCTGGTAGCTGCCCCTTCTTTCTCAGGAGATCTTGCTCAGAGCACGTTCATTCCTCAGGCCCCTGCCCTTCTCTGCCTGATGGATTGTCTGACCATGCCGTGGCCTTGTAAAAACATCCAAACAAGCTCCTAGTCCATCTTACTCACCCATCCCTTGTTTGGGTAGCTTAGGAGGAATCTCGTGAACCAAGCACTCTCCAGACCACAACTCCCGTCCTTCCATGGCTATGGAGGATGCTGGTTTGGGAAGGTTGCTGCGGAACTTGGGAACGTTTCCAGACCAGGGATGGATGTCTCGAAGAGCATCAACAGTCCACGAAGGAACCCTTCATGGGGAAGTGGCAACGGTTGTCTAGTGGTGAGAGCTAATCGCAGGGCCTCGGCCAAGGACATCCCAAAAAGGCGGAGCAGTGTTGCTCTGAGCCTTCTTGCTTTTGCAGCTTCATCTTCTGCAGGAGCAGGTCTTTGAAAATGGACAAAAGCAAATGGGGTTTGATTGCCCCTTCAAGACCGGGCCATCCCAAACTACTTCACAGCATAATAGGGGCAGCTCGCAGCAGTGTGTTTCTCCTGGGGGGAGCAGTGGAGCCGCCTCAAAAGTCCCCCCCCCCCAGGTGACCACAGGGCAGGCTGGCCCTGAGGGAGTTTCCCTGGCCTTGATCACACTGGGCCAGTTAAGTCAGTCAATTGCTAACATCAAAACACTTAAAGCCTAATCAAGACGATAGATGTGAAATTGGATAGCAACCCTAAGAGAACACCTAGCAGCTTCTGCACGGGCGATGCCTTAAAGGAAGGCTCAATCTTTCCTGCTGGTGTGCCGCCTCCGCAGAGGCCCGTAGCAAACCGATGCGGGCTCAGCGCGATCCTGCCGATCTTGCTTCTTGTTCCGCTTAGGAGGTCTGGCCGTGCGGAGACCCGACTACTTCTTCTTCCAGAAAAAGGAGATTCCCGTGCAACTTCTCTTAAGTGAGCGCCGACTCAGAAGCAGGTGCTGTATGGATCTTGGCTCCTCTTTGGAATGAAAGGACGCGTTCAGCACAGAGGACTTTTGCCAAGGCAGCCTTGGTGCTCGCGGGAGCAGGCAGCAGCGGGCAACGCTCCGGCGGAGTCGTTGCCCAGGTCGCCACCCCAGGTCCCACCTGGAGGCAGGGCTTGATGGGCGGCCTGGAGATGGCGAAGCGGGAGCCCTTGGGACCTGCCACAGGTCCCTCTTCTCTGCACCTGTTTGCCTGGCTCGGTGTCTTCCCCGGGACCCCCAGCACGGACATCATGGCCCGCCCACCTCTTGGGAAAGGAAGCCATCCTTCCAAAGCCGGCCTCCCCGCAGCAAACAGCGTCCCTCAGTCCTCCCCCACCTGCATTTCTGTTCACACAAGCCGTCCGTGCTTTCCAGTCCCTCGCAGCCTTTAGGCGGCTCCGCTCGTTATCCGATGGCTTGTTATTAATCAAAGCAGCAACGATGAGGCAGAGGAAGCTGAAATGCGCCATGGCCGGTGCTTTGTTTGTTCCCATTGATTTCCCCATCACTGTTTATTACCACTATTTACTTGTTAAACCTCCAAAAATAAGCCACACAGGATGGCAGGACAAGTCTCTGGATGGTTTAGATGCTAAACGGTCCAGATGCTGGTTATTTCCATGGTGATAAGAGCAGCCTGCCAGGGTTCCAGTGCGAAACACCCTCCCTTTCCATGTAAAAAAATTAAGTTACTCAGACCCAGTAACACAAAACTCCAGTAGACCTGTGTAAAAAGCCTCATGTCATTTCAGTCATAGAATTCTGCTCCCAGAAAGGTCATCTGCTATTTTTAAAGCAAGTTTCTAGCCCTTAAGACACTGAAGTTATGCCTCAGAGTCCTTGATTTAAAGCTCTTTATGTTAATATAGCTTTAAAATGGTGGATGGGCAGCAGAAGCGGCAGCCTGCATAGACTGGGTCGAAATAACACGGTACCACACACTCGAGGGCTGAGCGAAGGTTGGCTGAGGGTTGTCAGGGAACCACGCTCGACTTGGCCAAGATAACAAACCCTAGTGAACAAACCACAGTTCACAACTCAAGAACAAACCATGGCTTCTGTCGCGGCTTCTTCCTAGGTAATAAACCATTGCTTATTCATGCAGCTGGGTTCTGACGACACAATAACCCACCTTTCCATCACAACCCCCAACCTTTGCTCACTCAGCTCCACCACCTTCAGCCACCCAAAGGGCTCCTTCTCCCTCCAAAAATTCTCCCCTTTCTTCCATTTTGCCCCAGAACACCCTCCCCTGATGCCTCTGTGGACCACCTCCGTGACTTCCGCCAAGCTCCTTCCCTGGGCTTGCACTTTGCCTTTGGGGCAACCCAAGTACTTTATGGTCACTGTGCCCAAGGAGAGTTCATAGCTCCATGGCAGAAAGTCCTGGTCCGGCCCCTGCTGTCTCCAAGGCGGACCAGAAAAAGCCCTCCTGGAGGCTGGCTTCCAAAGAGGACTGGATAGAGGGGGAGAAGTCTCTCTTTCCCAGTATGGACAACCTACACAGAGAGACGGCATATCTG